GTTTCTTTATGGCCGTTTCTTTGGCATATTTTAAATCTTGTCTTATCAAGGGGTTTTCCCAATGCAAATGTGTAACCAAAATACCTTGAATATAATCTACAAATAGGAAGTTAGTTCCAGCCAAAATACACAAAATATTCTAGCTGTGTTATTTTAAGCATCATTAAATTGATATTAACATTTCAAGTTATTCTTTTTAGCATGATAGGATGATACATTGCTTTTGCTGCCACAAATTAAGACATATGTTGCATGTTTATTATTGTATTCATGCTCCGTCTTTCTTGCATGCTCTGCGGCATTCTTCCGTATTCAAGATTGTGTCAGTGGGTGTAGTGATAACCATGTAGGCTGCACCAGAGCAGGACTTTACAAGAGAGGGAACAGTGGGGATACGCAGACTGGAGGCAGAGGCCCATCCATTAACTTGACAGGGTGGAGACAAGCTGCCAAGAGTTTGAGTGCATGGTTTGGAGCAGGCTCCTCAGTGGGCGTGTTACTTCTTGTGCCCGTACCGCCATGTGTCCCCTGGGCGTCGGGGGGGCCATGTCAGAACACCCGGACCATCTCCATCTCCCAGTCTGCGTCTGGAACCACGGGGAGGGTCTGTTCGACCCCGGCTCAGATCAGCTCGGCCCGGAACCCGTGAGAGGAGAGAGGGGGCGACATACCGGCCCTCCCATCAGACTGTCTGCCTCTCCGTTCCCTGAGGAAATCAGTTTAACAGTCCCCAGCTCTTGGCAAGCGGAGGAAGAAGGGGGGAGGAACAGGGAAGAGGTGCGTGTGTGTGTGTGTGTGTGGGATTGTGGGAGTGTGCGCGTGTGTGTGTGTGGGATTGTGGGAGTGTGTGTGTGTGTGTGTGTGTGTCTGAGAGAGAGAGAGAGAAAGAGGGAGGGGGGGAACGTTACTGCCTCTCTGGGCAAGAGGGAAATCTAATAAAATTGAACTAATGGGGGGCGTGGAGTTTTAGGGCACAGAGGGTGGGTTTTGCAGAAAGGCATGGGTGGGTTGTGGTGGTGGTGGTGGTGGTGGTGGTGGAGATGAGGAGGACGGAAATTAGATCTTCTGAGTGCTTGGCAAAGGAGCAGAGCCAAACGGCTGCTTTCAACTGCAGATGGTGAACCCATGTGTGGGTTTAGAGAGTCGGGGGGGGGGGGGGGGCTTGGCCCACGAAAAATACTGCCAGGAATGTAACAGCTATGATATATCCTTCAATTAGAAATATTGTGTTGTTAGAGGTGATCACTGTGCTCTTTATAGTGTAAATAAAAGGCTGACAGAGACAGATGGAAGCTTTGAGCTTTCTCTGCGGAGTCTTTAATGTGAAGGAAGATCTCCTTTTCAAACTGTGATCTTTTTGCACTTAAACAATGACTCCACAGACTGTTTAAATGTGCCGTACGGCGCCGCAGGTCCACAGGTCCCCTGATAGTACACTGTTCCACTTTTAAGGGGAATAAAAGTGCTCACCCTGACCTCGCAGGATGTGATTTACCCGTCCATGAGGCAGTTTTGGTCTTCTCCTTTTGTACCTGCTCCGTGCTCTTGCTTCCTTATCCCGGGGTTAATAGGTATGAAGTCATCTGGCGAGGAGAAACCTGAGGGTGTTCTCAGGATGCGCCCCGAGCACTCAGAGCGACATCACTCAAAGCACCCTGTGACACGGAGGAAGTAGCCATTAATAAATATCATTAATGGGTGATCACCTGGCCACATTAACGAGAAAAGCCTAAAAAAGGAGAGGGAGTGGAGAGGTCAGGGGGCAAAGGTCTGGCTGAAGATGGCTGAACCAGGAGCGGTGCTTTAACAATGGAAAATCAATAGGCTTACTTACACAACGCTTGAAATAATGTGGCAAATGCATGTGATTAGATAGACTGCTGGTTTCTAGAGGAATCCCGCTAGAAGCTGTCATGTCTTCATGGTGTCGTGGGGCTGCCCATCCTCTTGTTGGTGTCGTTTATTCCCCGGTTCTCAACAACAGCAGGGCAGACAGTGGTAGGACAGACTGTTCGCCATCCCATCTGTGAGCGGCCTGTGCCCGCCACAGGCTAACACCTGCGCTGATTTAATGACTGTTTTCTGTAGCGGCCATGTTGCTGCAAGAGAAATGTATACGTGTGTGTGTGTGTGTGTGTGTTATTAGAGTAGAATGCACGTGGTGGTTAACTTCTTGTGCTTAGTGCAGTCTGGGGAAATGCAAACGTGTGTTAGAGAGTCATTAGGGAGCTGATGAAGGTGTTTAAGAATCACAGCCTGCTCATCATCGCTCTGCTAACGTCCCATAGCTGCGTCACTGTGGTTCTGGATACGAAGACTTAAGTTTTGGCAGAAGGTGGGTTTAACCGAGCACGAGTCTCAACTCCAGATGGAGCAGTAGCAGGCACTTGTGCAGAGGTAGCCTAAGGAATACGTTTATATCACGGTAAGGCTTTTTCTATTTGGACAATTCGTGAAACGTGTTTTTTGGTCTTACAACTTTTAAGTGTTACACTGTAATACCATTGAAGTTATCTCCTCCTTCTTTTCTTACCATGTATGGTGCCTTTGTTTTGTCTCAATCTGGCTCGGGACCATCCCCACCGTAGCTTCTGGAGTTGGCCCCTCTGCTCTCCGACCTGCCCGCCGTACGCAGACACTCCCGGGCCTCTTCAGATGCAGGCTAATTGAATTAATAAACAGATAGCGCTGCATTGCCAGCTGGACAGCTCTCAGAGACACTGATAAATGGGACCTGGCCGTGTTGGGCTGATGTGTGTGGGAAGGAGACACTAGAAGCCATCTAATCCCCCCCCCCCCACACACACACACACACTTGGTCTCTCTCTCTATCTCGCACTGCCCCCCTTTACATCCCTTTTACCCTTTCTGTCCTTCTCTCGCGGAGCCTCGTTGACATGGAGTCAGGCAGCTCAGGATGAGCAACATACCACAGAGAGGTTTACAGGCTGCCAGCTGATTCTTTTGGCTTCCGTCCATTCCGGTGATTGCCTGCTCTGTGATTAAGTGGCAGGAGATTTTTTTTTTCTTTCACAAGAGGGGAGGGCCTCACCTCTCTGGTGCTGACTGACGGGCTGAAGGGAAGTTGTTTAGTGAGGGCTGTCAGCTTCAGAATTCATTCTGTGATACACGGAAGATGTCCTTGTCGACACTGGTGACTGATTGATATCTGTAAGCTTGTTTAAATCCATTTTCTGTTTAAGTTGCACGTCGACTGTAGCTGGTATTTTATTCCTGCATGTTTATGTTCAAACGTCGAAAGCTTAACTAATACTGTTGATAGTAACCGATGTGTTACAGTAAGTCAGCGCTTTCTTACTGCCACTTGTTACCCCTCGCTGAGTCTCAGGACGATTGTGCCGCTGAGAGACACTCCGAGGGTGTTACCCTACCCGCCTCTCCCGCCGCCGTGTGTTGGTGTACACTCTGTGGTATTTTAACCCCTGTCCCACTAGTCGCGAAAAAAACCGGATGGTTGTGGCCCCCCCGAGAGTTGCGCTGCTGAGGCTGTGGTGAAGGCGGTTAGCAGGGGTTAGTGTCCTATCACATGTGTACGAAAATCAAAAGAGAAAATGTAGACATACCTCCATCATCACGAGGGGATACAGATAAAATTGCGAGGACGTAGCGCCGCTTTGCCGCGTCGGGGCATCCATTGGTTGGACAAAGAGAAACTATAGTCAACCGAAACAGGCTAAGCAAGTTCTTACTTTAACTGTGCTGGTTTCAGGGGCTGTTGTATCACACGAGCTGCGCATGCACAACCTAGTAAAGGCAGGTAGGCTGCTAAATATGTCCTTTTGGAAACACATATATGCAATATGTAAATATAATACAAACCAGAAGGGTACACGCTTTTATGGATGCCTCACTTGTAAAGAGATTTATTTAACTGTGTCTCCTCCCTACTGTTAAATGCTTTCCACTCATGAATAGCGTGAGGGAGGAGTAGTGGGCCAATGTTGTGCTCTGCTCGTGTCTTAGCGTTGTGATCCAGACCAGCTGGATGCCATTCCCTATGGGAATCATGAATGTGAAAGTTGTTAAAAGATATGGAGCCCTGGACACAGCGTGGACTCACTGACAGCAGCTGCGAGAAGGGGGAAGGGAGACAAGGGAGGAATCAGAGCACGGAGAAAGAGAATAGAAAACTTGGTCAAATTCACGACAGTTCAGTTTTGTTGCTATTATTTTGCTACACGTGACGAATGGACTAATTGTTGACAGTATATATAGGACTGGACCTAAGCATTTATTTAACATTATAAATAACAAATTCACGTCAGCACTGCAAATGGCATTAATCAAAATCAACCGTCTCCACAGTCTCTCAGCATTCATTATGAAACATGTTTTTTTTTTTTTTTTACCTGTCAAGGCTTGCACACAACACATGAAGCCTGATGACATTACCTTGGCACTAATTGGGTTGAAAAGGGAAAAAAAATCTGGTCTTGCGGTTGTCTTTATGTGATGCCAAGAAAACCAGAGTCCTGAGGAGAGGTGCATTCGGTAAACACTGGGAACACAGGCGCACCTTTAGAGGACCACTGGTCCAGCCGTGGCTAAGTAGACCACACGGTTAAAGCAACAAACCTCCTGCTGGGTCAACAGCGAGGGAGCAGTCTGAGCCTCACACCTTACCAGCAAGCCCATCTCCAGACACACACACACACACACACACACACACACACACAGATGTGCAGAGGAGGGAGAGGCTATTATAAATACGAGAAGGTGGAGGCTAGTAGGACGGCAACCACGGAAGGCAAAGTGGGACAATGACAAGACTGAAGGAGAGACAGAGGGCAGCCTGAGTGTCTTGATTTGTTCTCCTGACAAATGAGCCATTCATTATCTCCTAGTCGGCTCATGAACCCGCTTTGTAACTGTTGGTAATCAGCACACTGGTCAGTGAGTGGATGCACCGACTTTAAATGAATGTTTTTAATGGAAAATGATGTTAAACGTTGTGTTCGGTTTCCATTTTGTCTAATCAGAGGCTGAAGGCTGCACTTTCACACCATCCGGGTGCCATCGCAAACGGCAACATGAACTCCATGGGCCACATGATGGAGATGATGTCATCGCGGCAGGACCAAGGCACCCACCATCACATGCACTCACACCCGCACCAGCACCTGCAAGCACCTCCCCACGCCTACCAGCACCACGGCCACCACCACCACCACAGCCAGAGCCACGGCCAGGGTGGACACCATCACCCGCAGGGACACAACCCCCATCACAACTCCCACAATCCCCACCTCCATCCCGGGCACCCACACCAGACCTCACCGCACCCTCCGATGCACTCTGCTTCGCATGTAAGCAAAGCAAAGATTCCCGGGAGAGCCGAAGCTTTTAGACAATCCCATTGCAGATTCACTAACAGTTCAGTTCAATAACACATTAACTGCACTGAACATTAAAACCTCTCATACTGTATATAATATGTGTGTATCGCAACACTTTGATGGTCGTTTGAGCAGTCAAATTTTGGATTTGTAAATAACAGTTAGTATAGCTGAAATTAAGCTTTAAATTAGCTGTAAAACAGAATTTATTTCTTTGAGCTGGGTTGGTTTCAGGTCAGCATCTGACTCCTGCCGTGGAAAGAAAAGGGTCACTAAGAGGCCTCCGAGTAGCCATAGTAAAGGATGCTCAGTAGTGTTATTTGAATATAAAGCGCCATGCCATCCTGCACTGCCAAGCGGCAGTTCAGTGGCCACAACCTTCCCCGGGTGCCAAATCAGTTTTATAAACGCTGGTCTTGATAATGACTAGACGGCCTTTGCTGACAGTCTTGAAACATCTTAGCCGAGAATAAATTTGGTTTAACTCTAATGAGCGTTTGAAAATATTGCTCGCAGCATGAAAAACAACATGTCCTCCGCATTGTCTCATGGCCTCAGCAGGGCCAAGCATTTTGGATGAACCGCAGTCCGGCATCAAGAAATGCAATTCCCCGTATGTTCCAAATGTATCATTGAGGCATTGAAACAACACTCCGTAAGCACGGAGACCATTAAAGCAGCTTTTACCTTCCATGCTTCTCATAAAAATGGTAATGATCTGAAGACTGAAAACACTTGACCTTGCCAAGTACATGTCCAGATCTGTCAGTGCACGCTTGTTTTTAGAAATGAGACTGTGGTGGTGTTAGTCTGAGTGGAAGTGGGCGGTGGAAAACGGCCTCCTGACACCTCTTTAACAAGGTGGGCAGGCTGGTGAATCAGCCCAGTCACTCACTCACTCTTGTCACCCTGACGCCCACGGCCCAGCTCACAGGGCACGTTGCTCAACCAGATGTTGTTTTTTGGGGAAGTTGCCAGATTGGGAATAGGTGCAGGAGGTTAGATAGGCCTAGATGAAGGTTGTTAAGAGGTTTTCTGGCCGTCTGGTTGGACGGTGACCGGCGGACGGAGAGGGCTGATACCTTTCTCCCCATGTTGCAGATGTCACCTGCCACTCAGCAGATGCATCCCACGCAGACACTGCAGTCTCCACCACCCAGCAGTGGACGGCGCCGGCGAGTGGTGGACGAAGATCCGGACGAACGTCGGCGGAAGTTCCTGGAAAGGAACAGAGCGGCAGCCACGAGATGCAGACAGAAGAGAAAAGTGTGGGTGATGTCGTTAGAGAAGAAAGCAGAGGAGCTCACTCAGACCAACATGCAGCTTCAGGTACACGATAGACTTCAGGTGGTGTATTTGTGCAACAATGTCCATCGGTTAGTTGCTAAAAATCAAAGCTTATGAGCTCCAAATAAGAAATCCTACAAATTCGTCAGCCACAGAATCGCATCTCTTGTTAGACCCTCCCTGTTCAAAAGTGTTTGACCAAAACAAGCTGGAATACACTGTTATTGATTCGCTGGATGATGGCCTTAAAATGCTTCTGCGTTTTTCCCACCTTTCAGAACGAAGTGACCATGCTCAAGAGCGAGGTGACCCAACTCAAGCAGCTCCTCCTCACACACAAGGACTGTCCCATCACCACTATGCAGAAAGAGTCCCAAGGTTACCTCAGTGAGTAGCTCAGACATAAACACAGACATACAGACCAAAAACACACCTTCATCTGTGTGCCTTATAGCACACCATGTGCAGAGAGCACTGCGGGAAGATGTTGATTGTCGTGCCAGGGGAAAGATTTAAACTGTACGGACTGAACTGTGATGGACACACAGCGACTGCCAAGGCTCTTCGCCCCTATGTGCTGCTATCCAGCTCCCACGCTCATGGCAGGACTCTTCCTTTCACATATGGGTGTTGCACACTCTGGTAGCCAGCCGGGTCTGGGAGTTGGTAGTCTGAATCCCGTATGAGCGCTGTTTTTCCAATCCGACACCACCTCTGTGCAGAGGCAGCCGAGACTCAATGTGAGACAGACGTCACAGGCCACACGTTGGCATCCAAACTCCCGCGGATGCCACAAGATCTCATTGATTACCAGACTGTGCCTCGGCTCAGTCATGACATCAGGGCCCCACCCTTTGATACGGACATTTCCACGCAATTAGGATGAGGCCCCGCCCTGTGAGAATTTGGCGCAGGAAAATATGGCTAACATCCCCCCCTTGCTGAATGGTTCTTTTATACAGAAAAGAGCCAACTCCCAGACTGGGCGGGGAGAGACGTTCAACGATGGGTCCAACTTGTGTACAGATGTCACCTTCAATGTGTTTATACTTCATCAACTTCATCACTTGTTTATGGAGTCATTTTTATGCTCTCCATTTTGGGTCTATTTTGGGATGACAGGGGAGACTTTGGGTGTGTATCTAGTCTGTCATCTGATATTTATATGTTTGTGATAATAAAGCTCTTTTTTACAATAATGTGGTCTGTGTTTATTTTAATGTAATTCATTATCATTTGTTTTACTGCGACATTTTGTTGACGCTTGAAGGGGCACAGTAAATACAATCCATCTCTAATGACTGTCTCTGCTGTCGCCGTAGGTCCAGAAAGCAGTCCGGCGGGCAGTCCAGCGCCAGAGTGCTCCCAGCAGCAGGTCATTCAGCACAACACCATCACCACCTCCACCACAACTGTAGGGGGCAGCAGTGTGCACGGGCAATCCAATCACCGCACAGACATTAACCCCATTCACTAGGGACAAGAGAGACTGTACCCCAGCACCCACCCACCCCCACCTCACCCACGACCTTGCTTTCTGAGGGTTATCAGCTGCACATGCTGAGCCCCCTCGTTCCCTCCATCAAGAAAAACCTCAAAGGCCTGTAAGGCTGTTCTTTATACAGTAGCTACAGTATGTATTTTTATAAACCAACCCTATTAACCCATAAATGTTCTTTAGTTTGTTGCCTCTTTTTTTGGTGTGAGTTTTGCTAATCTCATGCAGCGTTTGAGTACGTTTTAGTGGTTTACGTCGTTTAGTGGTACAAAAAGGACCATGGTGGTCATTGAACCAGAGGACAAAGACACACTGTAAGCCTCAGACTATCTATCAGCGGGCTTTATATCTCTGTAAGCCTGATGGACTGAAACACGAGTAAGTGTATTCTCTGAATACCACTTACTGGTCGGTTATGTTGAGTGTGTGCAGCAGACACTACACGAGTGAGACGTCGCTGCCTTTCAAGCCAAGTCAAACTGTCCCTATGGTGTCATGAAGACAGGAATATGCAAGAGGCACGTGTAATGATGCTTTTGTTTCCCAGAAACAAATATGACTGTTAACCTTTTTTTCCATGCCAGCGGAATTCTCAAAGAGTGTCGTGAAAAATACAGCGTGACGGCGAAAACATGATCAATTGGAAGCAATACATCACAGTATTGATCACCTTCTCTACTAAATGTCCACAGCAGGATCGGTATGGCCAAGCCACTCTGGTCCGAGGACATTGCATGCTGTTACAGCTATAGAACTGCACACTGTGATACCAGTGAGGCAGCTGAAACAAACTCCTCCGTCTCCAGGACCAACTGAAGCTTTAATTATTGGGGTACCTTTTGTGTGTGTTTGTGCGTCTGGATTTTGTGAATCCATCGTTTTCAGTATGCAAGTTAGTTCTGTATAATGTGTTTTTGGCTTCTTTCTTCTGCAGAACAAAGTTCAGCAGTTGTGTAAGGAAAGACAAATGTGTGCGAGAAAATTATTGTAACGCAACTGGTTAAGTGCTGTACGGTTTCTAAAGAGGAGCAGTTGATGCCTTTGCTTTCAAAATGTCACAATGTGCCTAAATCTTTCTTCAAATCTTTTTTTTTGGCTTTCTGTAGACAGCAACTCTTTTTCTTCAAATAATCAAAAGCCTTTCATTATCTGTGTATTATTAAGGAGTTTCCTCTGTCATATTTTTCATTGATGTCTGCTGCATGTAAGCCCGAAACCAGCTGACCAAGGATAAAAAGTACCGTTTCCCATGTAACCTCTGACCTCTTCGTCAATGTATCCTCCTCTCTTCCTCAGGCCTCCTCTGCAGCGCCATGGATGTGCTTATAGTGACCTTTGTTTTTTATCTCCCTTGCAGCCTTGAAACTTTGCGCCTTCTCACGTTCACCACAACTCCTCTTTCCCTCTTTCCTATGACCAGGAATGTCGACTCATTAGCATGATGACCACAATGCACTGTGTTTTACAGTAGGATGGATGAAATACATTCCACTGACAGGTGGAGCGATAGCAGAGCTGTCTATGCACTTTGTCCTCTGCCATGCCAGAGGGTAGAATAGCCATATTAAGGTCAGAGTAATTCTCAGTGATCCTCCCCTTTTTCACACACCAGCGCAAAACGTAGCCGCGTTTGGCTTTATGAAGAGACTGTGCCTGGTATGCATCATGTTTGTAGATGAAGAAAGCGAACCTAAGCTCACGTTGTAGAGACCCTGCACGCTTAAGAAAAAGGTTCCTTTTTTTAAATCCTGGAATAATGTAGATGGATGGGAACCTTTGTCCTCATAATGGGCTACATTCAAGTTTTGTTGAACAATTTGGACTGTTTATGTTGTGTGTTAACTCTTCTTCAGTGTGCGCATTTTGGTGTTTGTGTCAATGAGAGAAACCGATTCTCATTAAAAGGGCTTTGTCGTGCAACCCTTTGAAATGAAGCTTGCCTTTTTAAAAGTGTTTGTTGAATCCATATTTTAGATCATTCCAAATTAATCTCTCGCATGTAAAAAATATGTCCATGACCTCAGAAAACCTTCAACTGGAATCATTTGAAGAACGTTGCTGTTTTAGAGTTCGATATGAAAGTCTCTAGTCTCATTTTTGACAGTTGGTCCAGGTTCATAAAAAGACATTTGTTACTGCACAGGAAGAAAAAAAGACAGATGAAAGTGCAGTGTGAGTTTGTCCGTGTGGAGTTGAGAGAGGTGAACAATTCCTACGTATTAAAAATGTATTATTTGAAATCCAAAACTATAAATATTGTACATAATTCCATTCATTTCTGTAATATTGTACATGTAATGCAACCACCTTTCTTGTTGAAGGGAGTAAATGTGTGGTACATGTTTGTAAATAATGTTTTCATAGCACTTGTTGCCTTTTGTTGTACGTCAAGGCTCATTTCAGCGCATAAATACATTGTTTAAATGTAATGAACTGATGAATCCATTCTGGCCTGCATAACTTTGTACATTTGTTGTGTGTCTGTAATGACAGTATCCATTTTGGTTTGCATTTGTACAGATGTTAAAGTATCACTGCAATTACATTACGGTATGAAAATAAAGCACTTGTTCTGTAACAACTAACTAACATAATTTAATGTCCCTCCAAAATCAAAATATGGTGACATATTTTCTAGTAACCAGTGAAAAACCGAACAAAGAATGCATTGAATCTTTCAGGATAACATTGGAAAAATGCTATAGAAGGAAAATAAACATGAAACGATCAATACTTTTCCCCTGATGCCTGTCCTTGAGACACAATTGGTCATTAAATAGTTAGAAGCTTTAACGGTTTAGAATACTCATTCATTATTGAACCGTCTAGACATCTTGATAGTTGCCTGATGAAATAACTTGGCAGGTAACGTAATCACACAAACACAGTTGTCACAAAATAAACCACTAAAACCAAACAACATTGCAGCCAAATACATTTAAAACTACTTACAAAAGCCGCATATATAGGAATCAGAAAGCGTTGTGTATTGTTGCATGCAAAGTGGCCTTGATCTTTCAGAGATTCATTTTGTATTTTTCAGAACTTTGATACCGATAGTGAGGAATTAAAGATACATTGACACCCACAGAAGTTTAGTAAAATTATATGGTTTTATTTCTGGCTTTACCATGACTTTAGGCACAGTGACCCCTGGTGGACATTTTCTAGACCAACCAAACATTTGAGGGGACAAAAAAACATTTAAAAAATGCATCATCAGCTGAACAATGCAACAGATGTCAAATCATTAAAACACTTTAAAACTCACTGGCCGGCCTTCTACAATTATCAGTGCACTCAGAACTATTTCAAAGCTAATTAAGTGGGTTCTCTTCATCAGGAAGCATGTTCTGATTGAATGCCACAGATTATATTCACCTCATACAATTATAAACCTGCAATGTTTGTTCTCATAAATGGGACAGAGTTGGCTCCACATTAAAACAACTTATTGAATTTTCAAAGCAAAATTCACCTGCTAAAATACTTAAATGTGTAAAAATTCAACAATGTGCTGATCTCAAATGAATTAAAAATATGCTCTTTGAAGTGGAGGTGCCTTGGTCAGTCTTGTGAGACTGAAACACTTCACATCCAGCCCCGCGTTGAAAGAAATCTGTCAATCATGTCGAAGGACCTCGCCGGCTGGTCGTAAGGCAGAATGTGTCCTCCTCCTCGGATGATGACCTGCGTAGCGGATCACAGAATTTAAACACAGCCCTTCAGAGGTGCCCTTTGCGTAACTGTTCACAACCCACCTGGTAAAACTCCCCCACTTGTCTCACGTAACCGGCCACTTCTGTGTCGCTGGGCTGAACCTTCCAGTGGTAACGAGGGGTCGTTTTGTACTCGGCCGCTCCGCTCCAGTTGACAGTCGGCAGGAACCTCTCGGTCAGCGGCGCTGCTACAATGACATCCAGCTGACCGCTGTAGATTAGGACCTGGGTGTGTGTAGAAAAAAAAGGGACAGCACAGGAAAACACTGTTAAGAGAACGATTGAGGATTGAAACTTCTTAAGCGCCATACCTCCGTTAAACAGACAAAACCCATTGGACAATCACCCGATAGTTGTCCATCAACACCCCGAGCCACGGCTTGATGCTCTTCATCACATCCTGCACGAGGTGCTTCTCCACCTCCGAGCCGTCATGGAAGGTCAGGTTCCCCACATGGATGGCACGTCGCACTGCTGGCAGGGTCACAAACGGGGAGAAGTACTCCTGGTCCTCAGGCTCCTGTTGCGCCGTGAAGAACAAAAAGTGGGGGTTCAACTAATAAGTAGCGTGCTTGTATTTAGAGTTGCAGAATTCACACAGGCAGCGTTGAGCCGTTGCTTCTACGCACCCGGCAGGTCATGTAGTTGTAGTAGTTCGTGCAGCCGGTTGCGTTTTGGAAGAAGGAGGGATACGGATCCATGTCGCCATTCAGCAAGCTGTCAAAAACCTGAATGAAAAAAATTAAATTCATTGACAAATAAGAGATGGAAATCTAAACTTAAAAAAATAGTGCGGTCAGTTAAACAAGTTATTGCAAATCCATTTTAAATGGCGTCAATTTCTTTCTCACAAGATTAACTTTTTTTTGCTAAACATTGTGACCCGGCTACTTGATCCTGTTTGAGGGACAGTCCTACAAATGTCACTCACAAAACATGTAGAAAAAACAAATCCAGCACCCCTGCTTCATCTTGTAGTCTTGTCGCTTTTTTCAGGCAAATCATACATACAAAACCCTAACCCTTCATCTGAAATATTTTTATAATTTTATACCGCCCTGTTTTTCAATAAAATATTTTCATAAAGCAAGCCAATCCACTTTTACATGTTGATAAAGAGCATTAACCCACACCCACAGAGCACAGGGCGACTGTGGGTGAGTGGGGAGCACGGTCGTCCTCCAATCAGAGGGTTGTGGGTTCGATCCCAGGTGTTAAAGCGCTTTGAGTGGTCAGAAGACTAGAAAAGCGCTATACAACTACAGGCCATTTACCATTTACCATTAAAACAAAGGAAAAAATGATGGGGAAAATGGGGGACATTTGGAATAGATACAAATTTGCGATTAATTGGGATTCATTTCGAGTTAACTGACATAAATGTGATTAATCACGATTAAATATTTTAATTGTTTGACAGCACTATAAAAAACTTTTTAAATTTTCTACCTGAAAAGCCTCGATCCACTTCTGCTGCTGGATGAGTGTGACCCCCAGGTCTGTTTGCTGGACGACGTACTGTCTTTGGTGTTCGTCTATCATGCCGGTTTGGTACATGAAGTCGCCGTAACCACCCAGCATCTGTGATGGAAAAGAAAAGGCTTTTAAAAATACTATACTTGTGTCGTGTTTAAAAGTGATTATAAAAACCACTTGTCAGATACTCACCAGTTCAGGATCACAGAGCCCGTCCCCAATAGCCATCCCCATGAAGTTTATTTTCACTTTGGCCGTGGGGTTGTTTTTATGGATGTAGTAGGAGATGGCAGGAACATACTTCCCTGCATAAGACTGCATGCGGACGGAGAAGAGTTACGCACAACAGGACCATATGTTGAAAATGTAGAATGCTTTTGGCTGTTGTCGCCAGATACAAATGTTCTTGTTGCAGTGGTATTTAAAGGCAAACTTGAATGTATCTACATTGCATTCCATAGGATTTTCTGAGTAGAAATTCCTACAAATGTGTGATGTGTACCAGTTTAAAAGCTATCATACATTTTAACACAATTCCTTTGTAGAGTTTGAATAGAAAAGAAAACATACCTCTCCAGTAGCATAGAACTCATTGGATTGATACTCAGGAAATATCTGGAAGAACTGTGTTAAAGCACTATACAAAAGAGAATGAAAAAAAATAATTTAGTAATCAACCCAGACTTTTAGATCAAGTGACAACATCCCTGCGGAGTTGGATAGCAGGTGTTTTACCTGTACAGATCTCTGCCAACGTCATCCTGGTTTTGAGCAAAACCTTTGTCATCATTGGTGAAGCTGAAACCCGTTCCAACCTAGAACAACAACAAAAAAGTGCTTCCTCAAAGACTAAAATATACACATGCACATTGAAAATAAAAATAAAGTCACGCGAGCTGAGAAACCTTGAATTAAATGTGCAACATATACGTACCGGATTGTCAATGTACAAAACTGAGTACCTGGACGTCCAAGCATAATCCCTCAAACCAACTGCAAAGACACAAAACAGCTCAAACACAAACTTGGGGCTCAACGTGCGTCAGGTTAAAGGAGAATTCAGCGCATGTTGTCGTAGTGCCGCATCAGTTCTTACCAGTCATGTTCTTATACACCACATATGGTCCGTTTTCCACAAAGAGGCCGAACATGGAGGTGCCACCAGGGCCGCCCTGCAGCCACAGCAGGACCGGAGCTTTGTCTTGGTTTCCCTGTCACACATTAGGTCATCACACAGGAGGAGTAAGATCTCAGCACCACCCAGTGGTAAAGTCAGTTTAACCGTCTTACAATGGGGTCAGGCTGAGGGTCATCACGCTGTAGGCATGTGACCAAGCATAAAAAAGGGAAATGAAACGTGTCTTTTAACACAAAAAGTCGACCAACATAACTGACATTCCCACACGGACACTCAGCAAATACACACAGGTGCTTATCAAAAGGTGGCCGAGGGAGCACGCAAGGAATAGCCTGAAGAAAAAGTTGAGTTCCAAAGCAAACAAAGACAAGAATGAGTATTTCTCGTCATGTCTGCTTTGTTCTCCCGTGCTGCAGCACTGACAGTGATGTAGTCGTGTGGCTCAGGATTCTGACTTTACCATCAGCGCGGGGAAGAACCAGAAGAAGAGGTTGCTCTGGTACTTCTTGTTGACGGTCAGGTACCCGGCGTAACTCTTGACGTTGGCGCCTGGCAGATCTCCGACCAGACTCCGCTCCCTGGCTGGATCAATAGCAAAAGACGTCTGCCGTGTCATGCGGTGCACTTGCGGGCCGTGTAGCAGTGTGCGGGTGCGCGTCTACCTTCATCTATGGCGCCCTTCTCCACGTAGGGAGTGAGGAAGAGGGGAGACCCGGGGTCGACGCCGCTCGCGGCGCTCACACGGTGAGACTTCCGGCAGAAGAAGGAAGACGAGCACCTGCGGGAGACAACCGAGTCCAGACAGGCCCAGAGGAAGAGGACACCGAGTGTTTCCATCCGCAGCCTGCGTTTACAACGAGGAACATATCAGAATACGCGCGCGGGTCAGCCATGCGTCAATCTCCGCCGCTGCAAGTCACTCACATTTCAGAAACAAACAACGAAACTGATTTTTAGTTAAAACTTACTTCATTTTAACTCTGGTGTCTCTTACAACTGGATCAACTTCAGCAGTCAGTCAAAGAGACGTCTTTCACTTGGGCAGTCAGCAGTGCACTGAGTCACATGATCAGCTCCGCGGAGGTCGTGTAACGCGCCGGGTCACGTGGTCGTTGTTGTTGCGCTCTGCATTTGAGGACCTGAGCGCGGTCTTGCAGGAAATGGTAACAAGCTTAGACCGATTATAGCGTTATGTTTTATACCTTAGTATACTTTTCATTGACAATTTGCGAGTTGAGGGGGAGCAATAAGATAAGATACAATGTCAAAGTTTGCCTCAAATCCTAAAAGAATATAAAAATTAAGTATTGTCTCAGTGTCCCATGATGCAAATAGGCATGTGATTTTAATGTGAAATTAAATTCGTCTATAGTGCTTGAGATAGTTCCTAAAACAAATAGAAATAAATCCTTAAAAGTAATTTTCAGTTAGAATTGCGTAATACATTTACATGGGATGTTTTTATATTCAAGCACATTCTTTACATTACCTGTTGTGCAAAGTGTTTGCTTTGAACTCTACCGCAATAATGCTGACTGAGCATTTGTAGCCTTTTGTACACTTTATAACCACAAGAGAACAACATGTTAGGTAAAGGCCTCGGGTCTGTGATAAACTGGGACACCTGCCCACCAAACATGAACATGCAAGCTTAAATGTCTTCAAAAACGAAAATGAATTTTCAACTTTGTGTGCATTATATCTGCCGCACACCTGATGACCAAAGTCAGCTTAGCATAAAATATAGAATTTAATACATTTATTCAGCACTTAGTGAAGACTAAATTTGTTAAACAAAAGACAGCTGAATCATGGGCTTTTATTTATTTGTTTTGGTCCAAAACACTTCACATCCAGCCCCGCATTGAAAGGAATCTGTCAATCATGTCGAAGGACCTCGCCGGCTGGTCGTAAGGCAGAATGTGTCCTCCTCCTCGGACGATGACCTGCGTAGCGGATCACAGAATTTAAACACAGCCCTTCAGAGGTGCCCTTTGCGTAACTGTTCACAACCCACCTGGTAAAACTCCCCCACTTGTCTCACGTAACCGGCCACTTCTGTGTCGCTGGGCTGAACCTTCCAGTGGTAACGAGGTGTCGTCTTGTACTCGGCCGCTCCGCTCCAGTTGACAGTCGGCAGGAACCTCTCGGTCAGCGGCGCTGCTACAAGAACATCCAGCTGACCGCTGTAGATTAGGACCTGAGTGTATGTAGAAAAAAAAAAAAGGGACAGTACAGGAAAACACTTTTTGGTCAGATTGAGGGACTTTGCACTATACCTCCGTTTAACAGACAAAACCCATTGGACAATCACCCGATAGTTGTCCATCAACACCCCGAGCCACGGCTTGATGCTCTTCATCACATCCTGCACAAGGTGCTTCTCCACCTCCGAGCCGTCATGGAAGGTCAGGTTCCCCACATGGATGGCACGTCGCACTGCTGGCAGGGTCACAAACTGGGAGAAGTACTCCTGGTCCTCAGGCTCCTGTTGCGCCGTGAAGAACAAAAAGTGGGGGTTCAACTAATAAGTAGTGTGCTTGTATGTAGAAGTCACACAGGCAGCGTTGAGCCGTTGCTTCTAAGCACCTGGCAGGTCATGTAGTTGTAGTAGTTCGTGCAGCCAGTGGCGTTTTGGAAGAAGGGTGGATACGGATCCATGTCGCCATTCAGCAAGGTGCCCAAAACCTGAAGTCATGCGGTAACAACATTGTCAGCTAAATAAAAAAAATAAAAAATGAAATTCATTTAGAAATAAGATGCAAATCTAGACAACTGAAAACTAATTTGGTCTGACAAAATTAAGGAGGAACGTTCTACCTGTAAAGCCTCCACCCACTTCTGCTGCTGGATGAGTGAGACCACCAGGTCTGTCCGCTGGACGACGTACTGTCTTTGGTGTTCGTCTATCAGGCCGGTTTGGAACATGAAGTCGCCGTAACCACCCACCATCTGGGATTGAAAAGAAAAGGCTTTTAAAAAAAATAAAATTCTATACTAGTGTTATTTTTCTGACGACAGCAAACGGTGAACTGTAAACCACTAATACTTCAAGAGCAGACGGGGAAACTGAGCAAGTTGAAAAGCTCCACGCTGGAAAACAGACATGTGAAATCAATTGGTCCAGGATGAAGACTAATTCACTGAAAACCACAGATGTGGGTGTCCCGGGTTTAATGATTATAAAAAATTTTTTTTAAAAAAACACTTGTCAGATACTCACCAGTTCTGGATCACAGAGCCCGTCCCCGATCGCCATTCCTGTGAAGTTTATTTTCACTTTGGCCGTGGGGTTGTTTTTATGGATGTAGTAGGAGATGGCAGGAACATACTTCCCTGCATAAGACTGCATGTGGACGGAGAAGAGTTACGCGCAACAGGGCCATTGTTTTGAACATGTGGAATGTTTTTGGATGTTGTCGCCAGATACAGATGTTCTTGTTGCAGTGGTATTTTAAGGAAACTTAAAATCTAAATTGCATTCCATATGGATTTCTGAGTAGAAATTCCTACAAATGTGTGATGTGTACTAGTTTAAAACATATTATACATTTTAACACAATTCCTTTGCAGAGTTTAAATAGAAAAGAAAACATACCTCTCCAGTTGCATAGAACTCATTGGATTGATACTCAGGAAATATCTGGAAGAACTGTGTTAAAGCACTATACAAAAGAGAATGAAAAAAAATAATTTAGTAATCAACCCAGACTTTTAGATCAAGTGACAACATCCCTGCGGAGTTGGATAGCAGGTGTTTTACCTGTACAGATCTCTGCCAACGTCATCCTGGTTTTGAGCAAAACCTTTGTCATCATTGGTGAAGCTGAAACCCGTTCCAACCTAGAACAACAACAAAAAAGTGCTTCCTCAAAGACTAAAATATACACATGCACATTGAAAATAAAAATAAAGTCACGTGAGCTGAGAAACCTTGAATTAAATGTGCAACATATACGTACCGGATTGTCAATGTACAAAACTGAGTACCTGGACGTCCAAGCATAATCCCTCAAACCAACTGCAAAGACACAAAACAGCTGAAACACAAACTTGGGGCTCAACGTGCGTCAGGTTAAAGGAGAATTCAGCGCATGTTGTCTTAGTGCCGCATCAGTTCTTACCAGTCATGTTCTTATACACCACATATGGTCCGTTTTCCACAAAGAGGCCAAACACAGAGGTGGCACCAGGGCCGCCCTGCAGCCACAGCAGGACCGGAGCTTTATCTTTGTTTCCCTGTCACACATTAGGTCATCACACAGGAGGAGTAAGATCTCAGCACCACCCAGTGGTAAAGTCAGTTTAACCGTCTTACAATAGGGTCAGGCTGAGGGTCATCACGCTGTAGGCATGTGACCAAGCATAAAAAAGAGAAATTAAATTTCCAAAGCAAACAAAGACAAGAATGAGTATTTCTCGTCATGTCTGCTTTGTTCTCCCGTGCTGCAGCACTGACAGTGATGTAGTCGTGTGGCTCAGGATTCTGACTTTACCATCAGCGCGGGGAAGAACCAGAAGAAGAGGTTGCTCTGGTACTTCTTGTTGACGGTCAGGTACCCGGCGTAACTCTTGACGTTGGCGCCTGGCAGATCTCCGACCAGACTCCGCTCCCTGGCTGGATCAATAGCAAAAGACGTCTGCCGTGTCATGCGGTGCACTTGCGGGCCGTGTAGCAGTGTGCGGGTGCGCGTCTACCTTCATCTATGGCACCCTTCTCCACGTAGGGAGTGAGGAAGAGGGGAGACCCGGGATTGACGCCGCTCGCCGCGCTCACACGGTGAGACTTCCGGCAGAAGAAGGAAGACGAGCACCTGTGGGCGACAACTGAGTCCAGACAGGCCCAGAGGAAGAGGACACCGAGTGTTTCCATCCGCAGCCTGCGTTTACAACGAGGAACATATCAGAATACACGCACGGGTCAGCCATGTGTGAATCTCCGCCGCTGCAAGTCACTCACATTTCAAAACTAGAAAATGCATTTCCTGGTGAAAAGTGGTTGGAATGCTTAAAGCTGGAATGAATTTCAGGAAATTGCTGAATACAGAAAATGCAGAAGCTAAAAATGAATTTTAAAAAACTGCTATACAGAAATTACAAAAGCTGAAATGATATTTTTCTAAATGTATTTTGGGTATAATAGTGGTACTGGTAGTAATAGCAGTAGTAGTTTCAGTAGAAAAAGTGTTAGTAGTACTAGTATTATCAGCTGTAGTACCAATGCCATTAGTCATAGTATTTGTGGTAACCGTAGTCATACTTCGCAGTAGAAATACTAGTAGTGATAGTCACTTGCAGTGTCTCTACTACTGGTAGGAATAGTATTTTTAGTACTACTACTACTAGAAGCAAGACATTTTAGCATTAATACCAGTAGTACTGGTAATAGTGGTTGTAGTTTTTGAAAGAGCAATAAGTAGTCAACAAAATATTGTTATCCTGAGCTTCATGGTTAAGGTACAGATAATCATTGAGGCTTTTATTTTTAAGGGAGGGGGTGCAGATGAAGTTCCGAAAGTGTCCTCTGTAAGACCTGAATACCTTCAGGTCCTGTCAGACTGCAGCTAATACGGAACAGCTGTGTGTCAGAAGGACTGCAGCGCGTGTCTGAGAAACCTTGGTAACGGTGCACCTGCGATCATTAACGAGCTGCTCAAAAGAGCAGACAGCGATTTACACAGAACTGAGTACAACCAGCACAAGCATGCAATCATTTTGATCCAACAATGAAGCCTGAAAAGTGACCAAGCGTTTTTTTTTTTAAATAAAATAGTTTAGACTTGTGTCAACATTTTAAAATTTAAATGGTGGCTGTAGCTGAAAGATTGGCGAAACAGAAGGATTTGAAAGTTTAAGAAGTTGAAGAGGATTTGAAAATGAACTTCATTGGAAAACCATGGTTTAAAAAAAAAAAAAAAAAGTTTATGATTTTGATTTATATAAAAGACAATTCTAAGAGCTAGAAAGATAAAAAAATCATAGCACCCTTCTCCTGAAGGAGCGAATAGTTTGAACGTTTTTAATAGCTGACAATTTGAAGCAGTTGAAAACGTTCAAAATACGTACGGAAGAAAAAGAATAAAGAGCGGAATAAAAGCTTAGAAAAACAATACTTGGAATGCTTAAAATCATTCCAACAACAAAAGAACCGCAACTGCTTTTTAGTTTGTTAAAACTTACTTCATTTTAACTGCGGTGTCTCTTACAACTGGATCAACTTCAGCCGTCAGTCAGAGGGACGTATCTAATGTGGTCATTCAGCGGTGTGATGCACCTGGTCACATCGTTTTCTACTTCTTTGTCTTTTAGTGTTTATTGGCAGTCGGCAAACCATCTTAGAGGTGCATTACCGCCACCATCTGGACTGGAGTGTGGAGCAGGAGTTTATGCAGAACACGAAGAGATAAATAATATATTTAAAATAATAATAATATAATAATTATAATAATAATAAAATAACTATATATATATAAATAAACAAATGGAAAATCTAGATTCGTTTAACTGAATGTGTTTCTGTCGGACGGCTTCCCTGACCACCGGTGTCCACCACGGGGTTCGAGGGTTACCGCCCCTAAGACCTTGAGGCCACAACTCACTGCCGCGGCTTCAGCAATGGAGGTTTTGAACATACACCACTCTGGTTCAATGTCCCCTACCTCCACAGGAATGTGAGAGAAGATCCGCCAGAGGTGTGAGTTGAAAATCTTTTGGACCGGGGCCTCCTCCAGACGTTCCCAGTTCACCCTCACTACACGCTTGGGTTTACCGGGTCTGTCCCATCCTCTGACCCAGGTCACAACCAGATGGTGATCAGTTGACAGCTCTGCCCCTCTCTTTACCCGAGTGTCAGTGCAGCCTCAGATCAGACGATACGATTACAAAATCGATCATTGATCTTTGGCCTAGGGTGCTTTGGTACCACGTACACTTATGAACATCCTTATGCTCGAACATGGTGTTTGTTATGGACAATCCGTGACTGGCACAGAAGTCCAGTAACAAACACCCGCTCGGGTTCAGATCAGGGAGGCCATTCCTCCCAATCACGCCTCTCCAGTTATCTCCATTGTCGCCGACGTGCGCATTGAAGTCTCCCAGTAGGACTATGGAGTCCCCTACTGGAGCCCCATGCAGGACTCCATTCAGGGTCTCCAAAAAGGCTGAATACTCTGAGCTGCTGTTTGGTGCATATGCACAGACAACAGTCAGACTTTTCCCCCCCACCACCCGAAGGCGTAGGGAGGCGACCCTTTTGTCCACCGGGGTAAACTCCAATGTAGCAGCACTCAGCCGGGGACTTATGAGTATCCCCACACCCGCCTGGCGCCTCACACCATGGGCCACTCCGGAGTAGAATAGAGTCCATCCCCTATCCAGGAGTGTGGTTCCAGAGCCGAGGCTGTGCGTAGAGGTAAGCCCCACCAGCTTGTGAACCTATATTCTTAATTCTAAGTGTTTGTTTGGCTAGAGTATCCACCTGTTCATTCCCCTCCACACCAACATGAGCTGGAACCCAGATGAATTGTGTGGTTTTGCCTCTAATTTCCATCCTATACATTATGAGGAATATGTCATTTAATGATATCAGTCCTGATAGATGATCTACCAGATTCTATGCTTGAAAGTGCTGAGAAACTGTCACTTGCAATAACGGTGTTGTTTATTTCCCTCTTATCTAGCCACTGCCACTGAGTCACATGATCAGCTCTGCGTAAGTCATGTGATGCGTCAGGTCACGTGGTCGTTGTTGTTTCGCTCTGCATTTGAGGACCTCAGCGCGGTCTTGCAGGAAACGCCGTTGTTTAAACTAAGTTGCCGTTAAAAGACAAACAAATGAGATATCAAGCCAACAAAGTAACAGGCTAAGACTGATTATAGCGTTATGTTATATTATACCTCTGTATAATTATCATTGATAATTTCGCAAGTTTTGAGGTTGAGCAATACTAATGATTGATACTAATGACTATTTTAAGGGGCAGACATACACATTGTTTCTTGACATAAGAAAATGGAAAAATGTAGTATTAGTGTCAGTTTCCCACGATGCAAATTAAATTAAATAGGCCTGGTGCTAAATATAAAAATGAATTAATCCTTAAGTATTTTTTTTAGAATTGTGAAAATGAATTTTAAAGCGGCAGTCAATCGTGTTTGGCCGGCAGGGGGCGTAATAACTTTAAAATGCACAGCTGGAAAGATGTGTGGAGTGTGACAGCTCAAGTGAGCAGATGATGAGAGACTGCAGAGACCGTGTCTACTACTTACAAAGCTGTGCAGAAATAGTTGGTTTTACTTAATTCTGTATAATTTAAAAAATAACTGATTATGCTTGTTTTGAAGCAGTTCTTTTAAGTTTCTAAGCTAATCACATAATTTTCATATTTCGGTTAGATCGGTTGCTTTCAATTTAGTTGTTCAGTCGGTGTGAACAAAACGTCGAGGAGGCCACCAGGTGGCGTTAAAACACTCACAACCCTTCTGTCTGTTTCAACACAACCCATCTAATGAAAACATTATTCAGATAGTTTGAGCCTTTGCAGGATACAACGTGCATAACGACCGTATAACGTTTTGCTTCAGCACAATAAAGCAACGCTTGTTTGTGGATCATGAGAGTTTTCAGTCTGATGCGTGTGTCATGTGTTGCAAAACCCGCTCCCAAACTTTCACTTTAAGAAGGCGCGTCTACTGCTGCGGCGTAAACGTGTGTTTGATACAGTCCTCAAAGTGGCACATGGAAACCACGGCTTAATTTCTGCATGACACACACACACACACACATAGGACTACCGACTCTGTCGAGTGCACGCTTTGGAGAAACCGATCCACGCTGTCTATCCCGTTGGCGCGACCGACCGCTTCCCTTCCTGCCGGCGGCGGCGCCAGCAGCTCGGCTGAGGCGAGGCGAGGGGGGACGATCGGTGGACGCGCGGGCAAGACGGGGGTGCCGAGAGACGCGAAACAGTCACCCGGACAGAGGCGAGGCACATCGGGACCTGGGTGGAAATGGAAGCTCCGCCGGGCACGGGCTGTCGTGAGCGCGCCGTGGCCAAGCGGGAATAGCCGAGCCGTGGAACGAGGGCTGGGATGGCTGCTTCCAGCAACTCAAGCCTCTCGGGTTCATCACTGTCCTCAGGTAAGAGTTTCAAATGACCCACTGGACACCGACTCGCCCGACGTGGTGGCTATTGTTACCAATTTATGGGCTCATAATAATAATTTCACGTTTCTTTGTGTGTGTGTGTGTGCGTGTGTGTGTGTGTGGGGGGGGGGGGGTGTATATTTTTGCTTGTCCGTGTGCTTTGAAATATTTGCCTCATTTATTTTGCTTGGATACAAGTTGTTTTCATTATCTTGCATACAGCCAACGCTGACATGTGCAACTGAAAATGTGGCATCCTCGTCTCGTCTCCACCGCACACGTGCGTGCTGACATTCAACACATTATTAGGTGTATATAGGATCACCATCTGTCATACATGCGTTCAGAGGTAAAACAATTCGAGGGAAAGGACACTTTTCTCGTGCAGAGGGACTGAGATGCAGACAGCGTGACGTTGGGTTTGAGCGTCATCATTGGATTCCATAATTCCCTTACATGCTTTCCACTTGGCTGGCTGTAGTGATTTTGTTTAGCCTGTGTAATCCAGTTTTTGCCAAAGTGCAGCACCAGGCTGAGAAATGATCACACATTGTAAAACAAATCAGAATTCGAGTGACATCATGCAGTTATTGCCACATTTTTTTTCAAACTTCAAAATAAACCAATTGCATATAATTTGATTTAATCGGTTCAAATCACACCTATTACGTATTTGTAAAAATTTAACGTTCTGGATTGTATTTCCCCTGACTTGAGAACAGAAAGTGTGTTAGCAGCTGTTCAAATAAAATCCAGAAGGAAATAGCCGCCCGTGCTCGTCCCATTGTAGAACTTTCTGTGTGGATGAAGCACATTGCTCATGTTTGCAAGGGTATAAAGTACAAACCCCACTATCACAGCACTGTTTGATGTGGCAGCCCTGCCAACATCCACAAGCGTGTGTGTGAGAGAGAAGGGGAGGGAGAGGCTGTTTATAATACTATTCTCAGCACTTCTGTTTATGTTTGCTGAGTTTAGAAAAATCCAGCAATACTTTTTCCGTCTACATAAAATGTAAACTGAATATGGCGTGTTCACCAGGACGTCGCATAGTATTATTATTTGTTTGAGTTTCCTACTCTCTCTGCACCTAACCACAAGGCGGAGTCACATTTCTCTAGGTATTGCCCTCAGGGAGGGACAGGCTGTCGTTTCCAAGCTGATATAGCCTGCTGCAACCGCATGCTTCCCAGAGCATTATCTCATGTGTGCGTTTCAGAAAGCAGCGGATTTACTGTTTGACCACTGCTGCTTTAGGGGGAAAGTCTTTTCTCTCTGCGGCATTGGAGGGTTGTCATTACTTTTGGGCTTTCAATATAATTATCAGAGGTTACAAGCTGCGCGGATGCCAGGGATAGAGTGGTTGTCACAAGGGTATTATTATTTTCAGGCAGAGCTCCTTGGAAGTCAAGACATTTGAATAATCTTGTCTACGAGGCATTTCACTCAAAAATGAATCCGGGCTCATTTTCGGCTCCACATTAGGTCGTCAGTTCTGCCTACAGATAGAGCGCTGTGTGTGTAGTTCCCTCGGCTGCTGCTCGTGATGAGTCTGCTCATCTTGCTTGGAGGCTGTTGTTTGGGGCAGCGTGTGTAAATAAAGAAAATGCAGTTTGTGCCACTGATGGCGGCTTCGTGTGCTTTATTATTGACCTTTTGACAGTGCCAACACTAATGATTTTATGAGAGCCGACATTGATTTATTTCCTCGCAGGCCGACCTTGACGTCAGCATTGCATTGATCCCCTTCACGAAAAAAGCAATGGAATTTTTCCAGAAAATAAGCTTGGCTGCAGACATTCCTTATGATATTCAGCAAGATAATTGTTGGAAAAACTGCAAATAAATGTCATGTCTAATAATCTTAACGTGAACAGCACTTTTCTGACTTTTGAAATGCAAGTTCAATGGCCAGAGGTAAAAAGCTAAAGTTAAGCAATGAACAGATGAGCAGCGAGCGCGGTGGTCCATTCAGCCCATTGTTGGTAACCACCTCGTTTCAAACACTTAAAAGTTTAATGTTTTTAGTATACTGGCAAACTTTTGTGACCACAGACATTAATTCAGGCAGCTTACCTAAAACCTTTTACAACCTATTTGAAAAACAAGGAAAGCGCAGAAATGCTAACTTGTTTCTGGGCTTTGGGGACTCATTCCTGCACCACACACAGGTGCACAATAGATTTACTCCACATATTTTGAGGCCCCTGATAATCAGATGAGTGACAGACTGAAAGGATTTCAACACGATTGAACCACATATGTTGCAATCTCTTCCTTTCCCTTGGAAAATATATTTCTTCAGGATGATTCCTTCACATTCTTGGCACGGGTGGGTATTGCAGCATGTTCTGTACCAGCAGCACACCGTTTGCCAGACGGCTTCAGGAAATCACGCTTTGAAAATAAATTGAGGGATGGCTCGTGAAAATACGCCCTGCGCTCCCGAGCCTTGAATGACAAAATTGGTCAGGGCGGCAGAATTACAGCTGTATTACAGAGGAGCTGTCTGCTCAACATGTGTCGGGCAAATGCTGCAGTTCACCTCGAAATCCCCCCACAACTATTTCTTGTTCTAACCGGTGGAAATCATGTCAGACTGGATTTGTGTCACATACTGACTGACTGAGATAATCTGTGTCATGCAGCACCAGCAGAAGGGGGGATGGGGGGCGGGGTCCCCTGCGTATTTCAATTCTGGTTTAACACATCCCAGTAGACAGTCCTGTATTAATTACAACAACAGACTGGGTCAGACAAAAGGCAATGTTGTACTGAGAGAAAAGGATGTAGTTTCCTTGCTAGTACACAAATACGCTCCAGGCTCATACCTGTCGTATATGATGCACCGAGGCCGTGTTGTAATACACAGATGGTCTCTCTGCTGCAGCCCTGCTGCCTCCCACTGACACCACACTGTGTGTCTGTGTGTGGTTTCATGAATCTGTTTCCTAGTACTAAAGAACATGTTGTTTTTGTATGTGAATAATATTGGCGTTAACGTAAACTGACTTTGAAATTTAAATGTTACCTTTCTTTTTGAATATATGCACATTGCAACATCTGCACATGTCTAGACAGGAATGGATCATCCTAACTAATGAATTAGGGATCAATAACAGCTTATTGTGTCCTTGCAGGACATCCAAGTAAAACGTGGATACTCAAAGCAGTTGCTGATAACACAGACTGGGGAGTCATCCAAATAATCCCAAGACATTCAAAAATCAGTAGCCCGATGTTTGAACAGGCCGCTTTTTCTGAGCGGCTTGTGGAGAGAAAACTCAACAGTCACAGTGAAAATGCTGTGGAGAAAGGTGCGGTTATTGTGCGTGGCATTCAAAACAGCTTTGTGATGATTATCATCTTTGCTCACGATAGGAGGAATGACCCTCAGAGCCGCCAGGAGAGATAAGATCACAAACAATGTAATAATTGCACCGCCTGTGAGGAAAAAAGACTGGAGGTTTGCCAAAACAAACAAAAGACCACATAACAATATATAACTCCTCCATAAGGAGACTCCCTTCCACTACTGTGTAAACCTCTAATGCTAACAAGTTGAGTCCTGTGAGCCATTTTCCAGCCTATTTTTGCTGACAGGATAAATGTGCTTGTTCTTGTACACGGTGCGCTGACCTGACCTGTGCGACTGGTGTGTTTGCAAATGGACCTTGAAGCCACAGCTAATATTAATTAGTAACCGAGAAGCGAGGATAGATGATTCATCACCGATCCAGCAATCTGCCCTCAGATGATTTTCATTGTTGACAAACAGAACACTTCTCCGCCGCGCTGGGAATAACACTAAATCTGTCTGCAGTGTTCACAATTCGAAGTACGTCGAGTGTGTCCTGGCGTTTCCGTCGTGAGCGCCTCTCTCTCTTTGGCACAATCCGGCATGTCCCGCGGCGCATCAATTGGCCAATCTTTCAGATCTGTTAAGTCCAAATCCTGAAGAACTTGTTAGGGGTGTTTTGTTTAACTGATAGGAAAGAAACAAGTCCTTCTGCTCGTGAGATAAAACCGACATTGAATGTAGTGTTACAAAATAAAACACTGTCTACTGTAGATTGTTGTCCTGAAAGGGAAAATAAAAGATGATCTACTCGATATGAACTGTGTGCTCGTTTCTTTCTCCACCAGAATGCAGCGTAAAGTACGACATTGTCAGACGTGTAACAATGCACAGTCGACGACATTATTCCTGCTGGTGTTTGTTTGTTTTTGTAGGTATTTTGCAGTCGGGAATGCAGCTGAATACGTAGCTTTTCAAGGCAATATAAAGCTTCTCTATTTGTTGTGTCAACTTAAATAGCCTCCTGGTGAGTTGTATTTGGGCTCAACTTCATTCTACCCAGATAAATGAGTCTTTATATCTCCTCTTTAGACAAATGGGTGATATTGAACAGACCCTGAGATCATAAAGGCTCTAAGTCTGTTGTCAGCTGTGTAGTCGTTAAATCCCAACAAAAGTCATTGTTTTATGTGCTGACGTAGATTTGTATTTACTGTGTGTGTGTGTGGTGTGTATAGATATATTTATTTTATTTTTTGGGGGGACTATTTTGCACAGATTCTGGAGCAGACTTTATCTCAGGGGCTGAACTGATCTTCATTCATTGCATATTCTCTTTGTCACCAAGGCAAATCCCCGTCGGTAATTATTTTATTGAATGCCTCTGACTAGAGATTAATGGAGGGCAACGCAATTAATAGCTGTGTCTTTGGGCGGAAAAATGCCTTCGGCTGCTCCAGAATTTGAAATTCTCCCTGATCATCAGACACCGCACAAGCTCTGAGCTGCTTCGAAATTCTTTTTGATGTTCTTTTCCCGTGTGTGTCTTCATGCGCGTACATACATATGTGTGTGTGTGTGTGTGTGTCTTTGTTTGAGAGTGGGTGTGTAGCATAATGTATTTAAGTGCGTGCTGGTGTTTGCATGAGGATCGACCCATAAGAGCCCCCTTATTACCAGCCGAAGATGCCGCCGAGTTCCGGACTGAAACGCCGTTCGTCATTGAAACAAATCAGATTGAAAAGCAAGCATTTGGCCGGCGACCAGATGAAATCTCATTCTTTAAACAAGCCGCAGTGGAATAAATCTTTCAGGCTGAGTGCAATGCAAAACGCTTCAGTGTACCACACATCACATCGTATTCAAAGGCAGACCTTCCGTGGAGGCCTTTACCCCCATCATTTAACCTTTAACAGCGCCCACTTATTTCACAATGTACGTAATTATTCAACATTTGATCACCTGCACCCATCTTGCCTTTCCTGTGTGATGAATGCAGCTCTTTCAAAGTAACAAGACTGTTGCGCTGAGAAGCAACGATGAGCATTGGGCGTGTTTGATAAGGTTGCAAACAGCCTCCTGCTGCAGTGAGCAGAGAGCGCAGCGTGAAGGAAATGCCTGCTCTTCATGTGCTGTCAGTTACACAGGTAAATATAGCACAAGAATATACAGTGGCTCTGAGGGAACGAGCAAGACGGTTTTAACGCCGTTGCCATTTATGTCAGAAAGCCTCACCGTTTTGCAGACCTCTTAACAAGTGCGCACTGGTTTTCATGCCCTCTCATGTGCGCTGTTTACTTTCTTAAGAAGGGTGTGGCGTTGATCTGCCGAGGAGTGCAAAGGAATGTTGTAAGCGAGCGACATGTATCTTCTGGAACTACATGACTCATTATTATTTTGATGTATGATGATCTCACTGTGTGAACATGTAGAAAGTGCAGTAACATTCAGTTACAGTTACAATTTCTTCAACAGGGAAAACAAAAAGTTTCTAGAAACCTCTGTAAATGACAATAAATGATTATCAGTATGTTCTGAAATGCTTTGGTTTGTGATGTAGTTAAATGTTTTGTCAACATCATTATTATTTTATGAGTATACTCCACAATTTATGACACAATGGGGGCCAGACCCTTTATAACGATACTGGCAAAGTAGTACGATGGCAGATTTAGCCAAATTCCACACGTGGTTATTGCCACATTTTATTGCAAGTCATCACTTTACCCGCTGGGTAAATTTTTATTTGCTACAGAGAATTTACTTCATCGCCACGCTTGTTCTTTCATGCTAAAATAAATAATATATTTCAGGAGTATGTCCTCATAATCATAAATCAACCACCATGTTTCCCAGAATAAAGTTTTACCGTGAGTCGGGATATTCATACACTTACATTTTGATTTTGTATTATAGAAAAGGCGTTTTTCCGACACATTGTTCAGTGAAATGCACACACATCTGTATTAAATGTTGAAGCAGACAAACCGATTAGAAGACTATTCATTGGTGCATCTCAAGAGGCACCTGCACAGTGCGAAGGAACCTATATGCATAATTATAACAGAGAAATAAACATCAGTGACATAATCATGGCAAAGGGTTCACAGTCCTTCCACTGAGAAACTGTTAGAAACAGAGATTTTAACAGTCTATTAGCACCTGTAAGAGTTAATGACTGAAACCTGCTTTACTGTTTGTTTTTTACAGACCCTGAGGATTACCAGCCGCCCATATGGAAGTCCTACTGTGAGTAATCCATTGTTTTTATGTGTTGATTAGCAATGCTTTTGACTGACTTTACATGAATTTGGCCTTTTTTAATGTTTCTTTAAATAACAACACATTTATGTCTGTTCTATAAATAGCAATGAGACCCTTTTCTATACCCGGAAGACTTGAGTTTGGTTGCATATACACAATCAGGTACAGTGCAGCTTCCAAGAGGCGTCGCACACGCACACACACAGACACACACACAAAAAGCTCAAACACACTTGCCTACACAACACATGCACAAAGAAAGATTCCTGATCTCCGAGTATATAGGTTTCCATCATCCAGGGGAAATGCAGTTCTCTACCTGCGAATAGGCTCAGCTGAAATCGGGTCTTCCTCATGCATTGTTTTTGCCATGTGGGTGGAAATGTGGGTTGACCCCCCAGAAGATTTGAGATGCGTTTGTTAAAGCAGAGCACAAATTGTTTTCAGCTGGATGCTGATTACAGCTCGGCTAATTACAATTCAAAGCGCCTACATCCGTTTTTCCTGTAATTAAATGCCTTTTTCGTGTAATTTTTCCATCTTTTTCTGACTCCTTTGGTCCTGTGCAGAAGGTATTTTTAGAGCTCGCTGTGTGACAGGAATGGATCGTGTCCAGATCTTGCTGGTTGGCTTAAGTCCGCCGGACAAAACATGAAAATTCCCAGTCGGGAGGCTTTGTTTCCCGGCCTGGAGAATCTGCCGCGAGGAAGACTGAGCTCAACCTCACGCAACCACAGCGGTTGTTGTAAATGAGGTCACTGATGTAGTCGTCCTCATCCACATCTCACAGGGTTATAGACCGTCATGTATCTCTAATGCTCCGTGTATATCGAAGTATAAAACTATACCAAGTGTTAATAATGTTAACTACAAGATTGTAATGGTTCGGAAATGTTTGTCAATGAAATGAGAAAATCAAGTTCTAGAGAGATGAAGGAATACACATTGGATAAGAAGAAAGGAAGCTCACTCAGCTACCTGTTCTTCGGTTTTATGTTTCTATCCTGACAGACATCTCGTTCTGGGAAACTGCAGAAACGGCAGCTTCACAATAGTAATGCACTTATTCTGTGGGGCTTCTGAGGCGATTATTACTCTGACTTGCACAAATGCCTCAATGCCTCACTGATCTACTTTCACTTTTTTCAATACGTTAAGTAGATCAAATACAGAGAAGAATACGCTTGCAGCATGTGTTTATTTAGATGTGTAATTTAGGGTTTTCAGGTATTGTTTTGTATGTGGTTCCAGTCACGTAAAGCAGTGACGGCTTAACGTTGCATGTATTAGCTATTGCCTCCTGTGGTACCTTTGTTACCTTTGCACTAGTTGAAGCTGCAGACAGAAGCCATACTAACGGCTGTTAAGCACATATGTTGTTTGATGTCCCGGGTCTAAAAACTGCAGTACACAATTTAGTTTCCTGTTATTTCGGTAAGAAATAGGCTTAATGCATGTAATTACAAGTTTTACTGAGCTGTGTACAAAGCTCAGAGGGGCAGAGGCCCTTGATTAACCATCCGTGTGTTTCTCTCTCAGTGTACCAACTACAGCAAGAAGCCCCGAGACCAAAGAGGATCACGTGTCCCCAGGAGGTCAGTATAGATCAGGATACTATACACTGTTCCGTTGGGCTTAAAGGATTGTTTTTGCATTTTTATAAACCATTGAGTTCGTAAAATATGAACAAATGAAAGCAAATGCCACATTCTCAGAAACCAACAGTCAATTAGATCAAACCTCACATTTAGCAAACTGAAAACAGCAGTTGTTTGGTATTTTATGGCCAATGACTCATTGAATAACAGAGTAATTCCCTCTGTGCAGTACACTCATTTAAACAATCATAATACTTATAATAATATTAATAATACAAAAAGCCCAATTCATATTCCGTTATATCCAAAAACATGTGATACATTGAGCTTTACAAGAAGTTTGTGGAAAAAGACAATAAACTATTCACGTTCAAACAGAACCACATTCTGTGGTGAATCTTTTCCCATTTGCTTCCAAAACCTGTCGACGAGGTTTCCAAACAGCTTTGGAGCAACACTGCATGTTACAAACTCAGTTTTCCCTCTCCAGTTTTAGCCTGGATATATTCACAGGGAAATGATTGAGTCTGGCAGCTGGTAGTCAATCAGTAACCAATGGGGATGGACTTGCTGCTTCTTGAAACCTAATCAGTAACTTACCAACTGCATTCGTTATTCTTTGTCTTTATGAATATGGACACCCGACTATCGTTTTAAGAGTATGACGTAGAATAACTGCATATATCGTATTCCCTGAGCTATGTGAATAAAGGAACCAGTGAATACAGTATACTTGTTTCTGCCCCCAACGAGAGAATGGTCATGTTTCTGTAGAAGCAGGAATGATGCATGTCTCATCCTATTTCGAGTCTCGTCACGCTGTGATGAGCAGAGTGAAAGTTGTGGGCTGGCTGTGTGAGATTAGCGCTACCCGTTAAATCAAAGCACAAAATGATGTTTGACATACTACCAAATCTGCTAGAATTGTAACTTTGGGTTTAAAAAGAGATTCTATACTATACTCTGTTAAAGTGATTGGAAAGAGGATTTGAATAAACTATTAAATAAACGTACAAAATGAGATTATTTTTTTAGCGATACCCTTTGATTTGTGTCACAGACGCACTAAACATCCCTGCGCGACACAGTAAGATACTAAATAAGAATTTTTGCCAGCTGTTTTCCTGCACTGCCTCTAATTCATCTCCACACGCTGTGATTTGGCTTTATGGTGCCGTAGCTGTGAATAGACGTGGGCACACATGGAGATAATCTCTGCTCTGTGCAGCCCTTAATCTTTCATACAGGCTAGAAAACAACTTGCACAGCCATTTAATTCAACTTTCATATCATATCGCTCCGGCCAATATGTCCTCTTCTTCCTCTTCCTCTGTTTCTTCTTTACAGATGGAAAACAGACCCAAATACTACGGCAGAGAGTGAGTGCGACTTCATTACTCCCATCGTTTTTTGTAGCTGTGGATTATTTTTATTTATCTGTGTGTGTACAGTGGATATTTTTGTTTTTCATCATTAGTTCCCTGCTTCAGATTCAGATGGTTTTGGTTTAATGTGTTTTTTCTGTGTGTTTGTGTGTTTGTATTTAAATACATGAAATCACATTTCTTTTTTTTTTTTCAGATTTCACGGCATGATCTCTCGGCAATATGCCGATGAGCTTCTGGCGGGAGCAGAGGGTGCTTACCTCATCAGGGAAAGCCAAAGACAGCCAGGGACTCACACCTTGGCCTTAAGGTACCAAAACCATCTGTATGCATCACGGAATCCTCTGAACGGTCGGCCATATCAGCGGCCCAGTCCACTGAACCGATTCCACCTCTGCTCTCCCCTCCATCTTCATGCATCTCCATCAAGCTTTGGCCACCAGACCCTCAACTACAGATTGTTTTACGATGGGAAGCACTTTGTCGGAGAGAAGAGGTTCGAGTCGGTCCACGACCTCGTGACAGACGCCCTCATCACTCTCTACATTGAGACCAAGGCGGCGGAGTACATTGCCAAAATGACCACTAACCCCATCTACGAGCACCTTGGCTACACCTCGTTGCTCAAGGACAAGATGGTGCACAGGCTGAGCCGTGGACGCACAGAACCACGCAGGGTCACCTTCCAGAGAGACGAGAAGGTGAGTTCCACCTCATGGAAGCGTGCCGTCCTTTTGTGTGCAGTACAGAGGCTGTGTGACAGAATTAAAGTATCTTCATATAATCGCTGCTTAAAAGACTATCTAGAGTGAAAATGATCACTCAATGAATTGAAAGAATTCCAATTTTGCCAATCCTTAAACTAAGCTAATCCTTAAATTAAGCTATTTGACACCAACATCTCTAAAGCTGTTTAATTAATAGGCTTTATTTGTTAAATCATTTGTTAAATCCGTACTAAAGATCAGTAAGGGTTAACAGACAGGCTCCATGAGAGTGGTGTTGATTTCCTCTCTGCTATTCATTTGCATTTTCGGTCTGTTGATTGGACAAAAGCAATTAAACCGAAGATGTAACTTTTTATGTACTATTACAATTACTATACTATTCATTTAGATACTGAATCACCAGTTTTAAGTAATAGATTCATAGAAATAATTTATATTATATCTGAGCGGACCGGGCTAAAAGAGAGCTCATTTATTATTTCATTCTAAAATGAGGATTGTTATTCCAAAGGGCTTATTATTACACACTTTACATATATACTTGATTGAAACTAAACTTGAACTTTGTGATCAAGTATTCAAAATACTAAACATTCTTGATACTTCACCATCTCAGGACACGTAAATGATCTGGTACGTTTCCCTCGGCCCTGTGACTGCCACTGTATAGTGCCATGCGAATGCTCGGCTTCCCTGCTTCTGGACATTTCCCGTAGGATGAGAGTGCTACTGAGAGGACACTTTGTCCTGAGCATGAGAGGTACATTATCCCTGTAGCCCAAGGGTGTGTTTACTGCTGCCATGCTTCGGTGCTCCTGCTGAGAGGTAATGATGACCGAGGGGACTGGGACTTTGCTCCGCCTGCCGTGCATATCAGACACAATGATCTTGGCCGAGACAAATCGCGCATTGTATTCATTGGTGAGCTGCTGTCAGATTGAAGTCTGTGAATTATTTATCGGCGAGGAACGAGGAAAGTCTGTTTTCTTAGTAGAGAGGAATCAAGACTATCCTTCCACTAGGTGGCAATCTTAACTTGTTTCATGCTCTATTTCTGGAATGATGATGGCACGTTCACACCAAGGCACAATCAGCTCTTTTTATGGCTGATATTTTCTTCTTCCTTCTTCTGCTTGTATCCATTTTGTGTTTTCTGCTTTGTCGATTTTTTCTATTTACGACGTTAGCCTTACAGTCATTGACAGGCACATGGCGGCCTTGTCACCGGGGCCAGTTGCAGTATTAATATCACAGGTCTTGAGTTTGGTCCTGTAGCTTGAAACATAAGACATTAATGCCACATTTTTTTAACCTAATGACCATCGGTTAGTCAGCAGCAGATTTATGGTGGTTTCAAATAAGCTAAGAGCCACATGCCACTACTAACCTCTAGGAAGCCCCATGGAGCATAGGACTGCCTTCACCAATGCTCCAAGACACACAGACCAACCTGTGTTTGCTTAACACAGTGCTTTATTGAACACTGTGCAACACTGTTGCATTTTGGTTAAGTTGCCGCAATAATGTTCTAAAATATGTGTATTGCAGCCTCCAATTAAACTCTATTAGTGAATACATCTGGAGCACCTCGAAATGTCACATTGTCAGTTATCTCTGGGCTTTCGTAAAACAGACGTACTTTTTCCTCCTGCCAAGTTTCATACACAAGGTTCCAGTCAGGGCCAGCTGAGATTATGTCAGACGGTGTTTGAAAACCACCTGCCAATCAAACCAGAAAAAAGAGGTTTTCTGTCTATCTAGAATATTACGTGTTCAAGAATCAGAGGTCTGGCCCCAAGGCTTGAATCTATGTTATCTTTTTGAACTTGATGTAAACCAGTCAAACAGCCACGCCCCCCGAAGGCATCACAGCCACAGTGGCCTCAGTGTGCGGTGACCATTTACCTGTGTTTGCTCGGTGTACGCTTGATACCACCGTATTGCAGCCACTGCAAATTCCTGTGTAATTAAAATGCTCAAGGTGAGCGGGTGCAGCTCAACCTGTAGATCGACCGCCTGAATTTAGTTATTTTTGCATGTGCATAGAATTTCCTCCGTGGTCGAAACCTGGCCCACATTCCTCCTGAGAGTCACCATCCCGGTTTGATCTCGGCGAGGATCTCTTCACGGGCTGGTCTGCTATTTCCAAAGAAAGAGTCATGTTTTTAACATAATAACAGTTTCTCTCGCGAGAGTTTCACGCTTTTGAAAATTTAAAAACAGCAATTTATTTGTTTTTGTTGTTGTAGTTTTAAAATCTACGAAAGCTCTTCGGGCCCCATTTCAAGTGTACATTTCAGACTTTAAATGTACTCATTCATTTTCAGCTTCAGAAAGAGAAAGATTCATCAATGTTCAGTGTTCCCATTTTAGACAAAAGACGATTTCTTCCATGTTTGTCTCAAACTGTCTTTGACTGCTTCTACTCATCACAGACCGTCTTTTTGTTGAGGTGTTGGTAGGGGTTGTTTTGTTTGGGATGTTGGTAGTTGTATCCCGTTGTCTTTCTGCCGTTCTCCCATGATTCCCAGTACTCTATGGTCACAACACAGTCCGCTCAGCTGTGCTCTCACAAAGCCCCGCAGAAATAAAAGAGACAAGCCACTGAAAAGAAAGCAGAGCTTGTTGTGTGAATCCCTTTTGTGTCGTCTCTCCCGAGGTCTTCTTTAAGAGACGAGAAGCCAGCTGCCCGCAGACAAAGAGTGCAGCCCTCGTCCTCCCTCCCTCCCCTCCAACCTCGCAAGGCTAAAATATCTCGCCGAGGTCAATTCGTCACTTGTCCCCTCAGACTTTGCTGCAGAGCTGAATTGTATGGAATGGTATGTCTGTGTCTTTTCAAGGAATGCCAACAACAATGACAAAAATCTTCACCTGTCCTGTCACTCCGTCAGTCATAGAGTAAAACCGTTGCCTCCAGACGGCATGGGGCGAAAAAGAAATAGCTGGTACACAAAAAGCCCACAGCAACTTTCCGACCGTTTTTATCTCAGCTCTGCGGTTTCCCTTTGGGTCTTGCTCCTCGCCCTCCCCACTCTGCTTTTGCTTCAGCTCTTTATCATCAAAATCCAATGCTTTCTGACTTCATGACCTCTCCTGCTTAATTAATTAGTGCTTCTGTTTTTTTCTCGTTCACGCTTAGCTGATCGGTAAAATAGCTGTTAAGCATAAAATCTTGCAGATGCCTGATATTTTACATGTTGTTTGCACTGCTCTTAGTATTGGGTACCGTGCTCCGATCTTATTGATTAATTAGAAATCCTGACAGCCTTCTTAAGCCGTTTACTGGTTGGAACCACCACAGCCAAAATACTATGTGACTGCAGACCTGCAAATGAGCCCGCTTTGGGCTTTTACTTGGATTTGGGCACTGCAGGATTATTCCCTGCGTAAGGATTATGGTAGTAATCCCTCCCAATCCCAGGTTGATGGTCTTGCACTGCTGGTCCTCTGGGAGGAATGATAGTGATTGGCAGGAGTAGTCTGCAGTCAGATTGTCTGGCAGATGCAGACTGGACGGCGGAGAGGGGAATTCCCCCCAGCCGACCGACTTAGCCGGAGGTCAAGTCTGTTTGAATTAGGAGGACACAGCCCCGGCTCCGTCCCATCGCAGAATCTTTGCTCTGTCTTTGAGCAGTCAGCTGACCCTTTTAGGAGGCCGAGCATTGACTGGGAGCTGCTGGCAGTTGGGTATTATCTCTCCCGCAGTAGAGTGGAGTGTGTCCAGAAGGCAGCGTGCTAATGGGAGTGTGCTCTGTGCCATAAAGAGGGTGTGTCCACTATTGATTGTCCTCCACGGGGCTTTGGATCTGCGTGAAACGGTCCTGACAGCACCCGGTCGTCCCTCACTCACAACAACCTCCCCGCCCCTCCCTATCAGAGACCCTGTTCTCTCCCTCTTTGCTTTCTGGGTGTGTGTGAAGGAGGGCTATTGTGTGAGGCACGCTCCTGCCCTCAGGCCGGCCCACTCCCGACCCTGTTTCCTCTGCCGCTCTTGCCTGCTGCCGCCACTGGAAGTAGACCATATGCAGAGCGGACCCGCCGCTGACCGTCGCCAGTGGAGTGGAGCTGCCTCCTCTGCGCTGGGCTGCTGTCGGAGACGTCTGCGGCGCGGCGCCCACGTCTCCCCCGAACACCTCTCCCCGGAGGAGATGGAGAGCCTTTGGGAACTCGACCAGGCGAGCGTGGACGCGGAAGACAAGAGAGGAGGGGAGCTGATTACCCACAAGGCTAAAAGACATGAACGGAAGCGTCAGGAGCTGCTGGCTTTGGCTCTGGGAGTCAAACTGGGGAGCAAGGGAACACTTCTGTGGAAGCCTATAAAACTGTTGGCCTCCTGTCCACAGATATCATCACCTCTAGTGCGACGGAGTGCCTTGAAAGATACGCCGGAGAAGCAGTGCTCATACGAGAAGATACACAATTTTAAGGTGAGCGGGTATTTATTGAACGTTTTGATGGCTGCTAACAACTTGGTCATTTTGTTACATGTACAGTATACATACATCTGTTTATTTATGCCTCATTCCCCCTAAATAAGGAGTACAGTTTTTTTTATTATCTCTCACTGTATAGTTCTTTTTGCGGAAGACTCTGACAGACGCAACATACTCATGTGTCAGACGTTTGCTCGGCTCACAGTGTATGTTGCTGTTTTAATGAGAACACGTACAGCTGACACCCATATGAACCGAGGGGTACTAATGGAAACACTTAACTGAGCAAGCCATTAGCAGAGCACATTGATTTGCATTGATTTGAAAGCTCTTATATCTTATCGATGTTTTAGGCTGCTGATTTAGTAAAAACAGTTACTAGACTGCAAGTGAAGGTAACAGTTCTCATGGAGAATTTTGGGACACTCGCCTCGTGGCGAGTCTCCATTCTTGCATTTGTGTCTTGGGTGTCAATTACGTGCAGGTTCAAATAACCCCAATTCTTTTGTATACTTCCCCTTTGAAAGATTACACAAAACCTCCACTTACCACCTGCCGTATGCTCACTCATCACATCTGCTACCTTTTCAAAGTACCAATGAAGGTGTGTGTGTGCACATGCACGCAGGCACGCACCCACTGGCCATCTCTGCTGTGTTTTGTAGGGTGCACAGCGACTGTACATCTGTTATTTTGACCTGCAGCCTTGACTCTGTCGCTGCCTGCATTTATCCAAATGCCCAGGAGCAGATGCCAGACATTAAAGTAAATCCTTTAATCTGCCTTGTATATACAAATGCTTTAATTTGGCAAGGGGTCCCATCCACTGTAGCCTGGGATCACAACAGTAATCTCTGCCCAGTACATGAAAAGACAGTTTCTTCAGTTTGAATTGGACAGCAATGACTTGCAGTGCATGGTGTGTGTTTGTGTTTGTGTGACCGTGTCCGCTCTCAACCCACAGGTACACACCTTTCGAGGGCCACACTGGTGCGAGTACTGTGCCAACTTCATGTGGGGCCTCATTGCCCAGGGCGTCCGCTGCTCGGGTAAGTACCGTCCATCAGCCAAGTGGCATGTCATGGATAACGCAAGCAGTGCATGAGCCAACTCTGTCCTCTCGCGGATGTTTCAAACGCACGTCATTCGCGGGGATCGATTATGAGCCTTTTATGGTCATTTTCCGGTCGAGTCTGCCACAGGCAAGTTGAGATTCTCCCGTCAGTGACTCATCAAAGTTTGTTCTTTTCACAGTAACATATTATCTAAATGATATAATCACAGGCAGAACTGCTATCCCTCCTTTTGAAGCCTCTTGGTAAATCACAGTCAGCTAGATGTTTTTACACACTGTTTTGTAATTCCCTTATAACTGGTTACATGTGATGAAGCACGCTGACAACATTTATGTGCCAATGTAAGTCAATTTCATCTGAACAGAAATCCCTAAAAATACAATAAATGATAATACATTGCAGGTCAAACACAGGTCAAATGCGATGTAAATGTGACCCAAAATAGCAGCAGCCGTAAGTCATTGATTGCGTACGAGAGTGCAGTGGAGTTTTTATGACCTCTATAGTCACAAGATTCGTTCACAGCACCGACATGAAACCAATGTGCACATCAGTGGACTCGGTGGCTTCCTCCCCGAACAGAGTGCTCGTTGTCAAGACATTTGCCACGCTGATAAGCCAGAGGCAAACACTGGTATCATCAGGCACCTCATGTGCTGTGTGAAACAGGAGGCACTTCTTTTTTTCCCCCTCTCCCTCACTCCCTGCTTAGCGCCCAGTTCTTTCTTATCTGCTGCTACACTCTCAGGGACTGACTGAGAGTGACGTCCTCAATCAGCAGACCAGTTGACCAAAAAAAAAAACATCTTTCAGACGCCTCCTCAAACACCTTCGTTCCGAGCTGCGCGGCCACCCGAGCAGGCGCGTGCAAGCGTGACTTAAAGTCCTACAGGAGCGGCTGCCCTGTTTGCTGCTGTCTGTCAGCGCCGTTTATCACAGACTCTGGGAAACCTTTTCAGGCTGCTCGTCTTAAGCCTGCTGTGATTGTTGTTTTATCATCAGCCGGAGACTAATCTCTAACCCTCTCTGTGTTTATCTCGCCTAGATTGTGGGCTGAATGTACACAAACAGTGCTCCAAACTGGTTCCCAGCGACTGCCAGCCGGACCTGCGCAGGATAAAGAAAGTGTTCAGCTGTGACCTCACCACGCTTGTCAAAGCTCACAACACAACGCGGCCCATGGTGGTGGACATGTGTATTCGAGAAATAGAGCTCAGAGGTAGGACGCGGTCTTCAATCGGTCCTGACAAGTTAAACTCATCAATCAACTCAGAGAAAGGAAAGCAGAAAGTAGAGTGTGATTGGTAAAATCTGTATATTAATTTATTCTTTAGTTCGAGTAGGGAGAATAAATGCCAGTATTTCCTCCAGATCATTTGTTGTGCCCATCCTGGGTTGGACGCCTGTGGTGCAGAAGGGAGGCAGGGAGGCTGATAAGAAAAACTATTTCAAATTTTCTGTTGCAGGTATGCAATCTGAAGGTCTCTACCGAGTGTCTGGCTTCTCGGAGCACGTAGAGGAAGTGAGGCTCGCCTTTGACCGAGGTTTGTTGACACCAAATTTGTTCGGTCTCTGAGGTTTCATTTCACAGGTTCATACATTTAGAAAAGAACCCTGTTTCAGCTCGAGTTGTTATTTTGTGAACATTCAGTCCTTAAAGTATTCCTGTATCTGTGTCATGTATTTTTTTTTTTCCTCATCAGATGGTGAAAAGGCTGACATCAGCGCCGTTGCCTATGCAGACATCAACATCATCGCTGGTGCTCTGAAGCTCTACTTAAGAGACCTTCCCATTCCAATCATTACGTTTGACTTGTACTCCAAATTTATTCAAGCTGCAAGTAAGCTCTCTTTTACTTTGGGATAATCCACGCTGTCACTGTTTTACCCAGCATTCCCTGCAGATAATAACCGTATTGCTAATGTGATGTAGAAATTCCAAATGCTGAATCCAGACTGGAGGGCATCCACGAGAGTTTGCTGCAGCTGCCCCCCGCCCACTTTGAGACCCTGCGTTACCTGATGGCTCATCTCAAGAGGTCAGTTCACACACACACACGAGTCCCCAACACAAGGACATGCATTGTTTAAAGTTCTTTTATGGGAAGAACGGACTTCAAAATGAAGTGTTGTCTGAATGGAGTCTTCTCTTCCATCATGAGTCTCTGCGCCATTGACATCTGTAGTTCTCCTAAAGAATAGTTGCTCTTGAGGATGTATTTCCTGATTTCAATGAACATAAGCACTGCAAATCTAACACACACCATACTGTTGCCATAAATACCACCTGCAGAGTAATCCTTAAACTATTAATGTATCAATATGCCTTTTGAGAAACTTTTCAAGTTCAATAACTGTCAATAACTGCAGAGGCCAGCTGTTCAAAGGAAGCGATAGTTATCTCCAAGGAAAGTGTGCCTTGGTCTTTAAGTATGAGAAACAAACTGGATTTGTACTGCTGGCGGCCTTTTCATGGGATTTGTTGAAAATAAGGAAATGCATTAAAAAACATTCAGCTTTTGTTCTTTTGCTGTACAGGGTGACGCAGTTTGAAAAGGACAATTTCATGAATGCCGAGAACCTGGGGATCGTCTATGGTCCAACGCTCATGCAGCCACCAGAGCAGAATGCCTTGACAACCCTGAATGACATGCGGCAGCAGAAACTAGTGGTGCAGCTCATGATAGAGCATGAAGACGTCTTATTCTGAGGACCGAGGCACGGGGGCCTCACAACAGAAACGAAGGACATTTATTTATTCTGTCATATAGGACATTCAAACCATCCTGATTCTTATGAAGTTGCAGAATAGTTTGTAATCAAATTGTACTTGAAACCCTTATTCTTCTCGCATGGCTGTTTTAGTTGAAATTGGTTTAGTGTTGACATTGTCTTGTAAATGTAAGTTTGGATTTTAATACCCAGCCAAGTCCATCATTTTTATATTTTTTATCTTTTTGTTTTTACCTGGCTACAGTGCTGTTCTCTCCTCTCGTTAATTTGAAGACTGTCACTACCTGGTGTAGACAGTCATGATGCAGCAGCCTATTTAACGTCCCCACATTACACGTGTGCTTACTATGATATAAGTGGGAACTTTGTTTAAAGTTTAATGTGGATAAAGATCTGTTCATTTAATGATCAATATTTTAACTGTTTACTAAAATTTGAATGATGAGGCAATTTGGCGCTCATGAAGCACTTTTTTGCAACAAGTGTAAAGATTTATTTTGTAAAGATGTTTATTTTTGTCATTTTACTCTGCATCTTGTTCTTTTGTCACAATAATATATACTTTTGAGAATGACGTTTGATGAATTGATGTCTAAATTCAAAAGAGAGAAAAATAACCTGACGAGAAGCAGAATTACCTTTTTAAGTTATGGCTCTGAATACACGGCTGGATTAAATACTGGTCATTTTAATTCACATGTCATGTTGCAGACTGTTTGTGAAACTCTTTGCACACACGTCTGATGCCGGCTTTGTAGTAATTCTGTTTACATGCTGTAATTTACGGTACCTACGAGTGAACATAGGATCTGGGCCCATTTGATTTCTTTTCCTATGCCAGGAACACCACTCGGTGCAGCAGCAGTCGCCTTCTAACTTCACAGTGCCATAGAAGTTAATAGTCACGCTACAGCTGCACCGAGGACGTTTACTTCACCCTTGGTTGGATGTTATTAAAGTCAATCCTTTCACCAAATCCATTTTATTAAAATGTATTTTTGTGATGGTTGCGATTAAAAATGTAATTTATCAAATGTTGATTTATTAAAGGGAAGAAAAGCGGAGTTTAAAATAGTGTGAGCTGCTCTTCAATGTTCGTCTGCTTTTAACATAAAGGTAACAGAGTGAGATATCTGAAGAGAGGCTATCACAGATAGCCTGAAGCACGGTGACGGAATCACAGGTATGTGGTTAACAACCTTTTTGAGGCGTTTTAAATTCCGTACCAGGCATTTTTGGCAGACGGTCGTATCTAACATCCAATCACCGTGTAACCCTGTAACCTTCCCGCTTGACCAGTTTATGTGCAGGTGCGGTCAGCCTGCTGGAATTCATCCAGATACCTAATGAACTAGTTTGGTAGGAAAAAAACTGCTGCTCTTTATGAGAGAATACACAATTAACTCTAACGCTTTAAATCTTCTTCACTCCTATATCCACACTGAATAGTCAGTTTCTTTTTGCGTCAAAGAACTTGACGCAAAGAGATTTCTATCCTATGTCAACATTAAGTCAACCAAAATGATACAAAGCTTTCATTTGTAAAAAACAAACAGAAGCACTGACGGCCATCAGACAGCTCACAGGCTTCTGTCATCTTTGAAACATTGTGCATCCTGTTGATGTTACATTGCTGATTCCACTTGAATTGAATTGTTCTCAAAATGTAGACAAAAAAATTCATACTCGGTGTTAACAAGAACATTTTGACGGTTTTAGTCAGGATGTTATTCCCTACGACGTGTGAAGTTTGGATGGAACTGGGGGATTTTGATGGTAGACGATGTAAAATCCATAGTTTGGAAATATAATTTGGAATGATCAAATTCTTCCTCCATAGGCCTTTTGCATATTTTTTTGTGATGCACTCCTGGTGCGATGACATCATGTACGGGACCGTGGTCTCATTCACATCTGCCCAAAATCTAGAAACTCAAAGAGAAGGACTCCTCACTGTTTAATGTTGTCGTTGTTGTTTAGATTTTGAAATGTATGAACGATACAAGAGTGCCATCTAGTGCGTAATAAAGACCTACACAGAGAAGAACTCCCCCGCAGGGTCACTTCCAGAAACTGTATCACCAAGGCTGAAGCTTCACAGTCACTAAATTAAGACAAACAATTCTAATAGGGAGCCAAAATTAATATATGGTAACATTATTAGGGCAGAATGTAGATTCACATCAATTATTGGTCTTATTTTCCATCAAATGTTTATCCAAAAGAAAGACCATACTGTTCATAATAAGCCCAGTAATTAATTCACAATGCATGTCACTATTTTCGGATGTGATTCAAGAAACAAACCCTAAATGAGTTTTTCTAGAGCTCATCGTGTTGGTAGGTGAATTCCCTCGCAGATATGAAGCCGTCTTTATCTTCATCCTCATTTTTGAAGATATCCTCTACCATCGCCTCATGGTTTGTGTCATTAGGGGAATATCCATGTTTCTCAAATTCTTTCTTCAGGTACTCTTTTACCTACAACATAGACAGAATGATAATCGCAAAGCAGTAAGAAAAAATATATATTTATACACTCAGTGAAAAGAAAAGCCATTTACAAGAATCTCCCACCTCCTCTCTGCAGAGCTTCCAGTCGTCATTGAGATCCATCTCCCGGAAAGACTCATGCGACCTGGGACCATTTCGAATGTCCATGAGCTCAATGTGAAAAATGAGAATACTGCTTGGGGGAATCTTGCCTGTAAACAAAGGAAAAGGGTTTAAGTAAAAGAAACAAAATGCATTAGAATGAGTATACAGTGCTCTCGGGAGGATCCACAAAGACAGATATGAATGGTGGATATGATGAAGCTGCAGCATTTTGGCCGTAGAAGCTCAGACGTGTTGATGGTGTAACAGAAGACGAAATGGGGACATGTCTTATTATATGAAACATATTTTTGAGTTTTATTTATTGTCTGTTACCTTTTCCTTCCTTGCCGTATCCCAGAGACGGAGGAATCGTCAGTTTTCTGCGCTCTCCTGTGCACATGTTCTTCAGACCCTTATCCCAACCCTTGAGCACCTCTTGCATCCCAAGAGTGAACCATACTGGATTTTTATCCCCGTGTTCGCGGCTGCCAAAAGTAACAAAGATCCATCACAGTTTTCTTTGAGAAAGAAAAGTCCAGCACACACAATCTATATCACAAATATGTACAATGAATAGCTGCCCCCTAATTTTAAGGGCAGTTCTATGGTTAATACCGCGGTGTGATAGGAAAAGTATGATAATAATAATAACCGTTACAGTTTCACATAGTTTCATATTGTTGACCAATGATTAAAACATTTCTGAACTTTAGGCAAATATGCGACTCTGCCAAAAAAGGCATATTTGAAAAGATACGTTTTGAGGAATGATTTAAATAACGCAGATGCAGACAGATGTTGGTCTGTATCACTGCGCAGTCCAGTAGATTCATGCATTGCTTTTACATCGACTCTCCTGCACGACACGAGGAGTGTAGCATCATTGCACAGTAATACATGTAGCATCAAAGTTTGCAGCAAGACGTTACCTGGAATAGAACATCGTGCCATTACTTTCCAAGAATCCCTCGTGGTGAACAAGAAGCATGTCTCCATACTTTGACTTACGGTAACACATGAAGGGTTTATGTAAAACTTCAATTTTCACTTCTGGCTCGGGCAGTTTGCCCCCCGTAACAAGCACAAACAGTGAGGCCAACAGCGAATAAATATAAAAAAGAATCATTTCGACAATAGCTCACTTACTCGCAAAAAAAGATAAATCAAACCGTTTCACTAAATGCTGTCTTTAAAATATATACATGGCAGGAATGTCAACTACGTGGCAGCCAACTTAAACGAGCACGTAACAGCCGTTCCGCTGTCTGACCTCCTCCCTTTACTATTGGCTACACATGTATTCAAGCCACGCCCTTTACCCATGTTCTCTCATTCTATTGGTAGTTCTGGGTCTCAATCCCCCGTGTCCACACCCACAGCGCTTTAGTCCCTCAGACGTGCTCCACTGTCAATGGGACGCGCTGGAGAGCGTCATTAGAGCTTGATTCACAAAAAAAGTTTACGCACTTTTATCTACGGAGCTGGAATGTAAAGCCTAGGACGTTACTCCACAAATCACACTCGGGGCCCGATGGAGTCGCTTCAATCAGCTGTACATCGTTTCTTGTTATGATAAACAAGTAATGAACGGCAGAAACACATCACTAAAAAATGGAGGGAATGCTGCATAAATGGACGAACTATATTAGTGGTAAGTTAATGCTATAGTCGTTGCGTTTTTCGGTTGCACTGCTCGTTTTAATAAGGTAGCTAGCTAGCTAGCATGACAACATCTTAGCGTATTAGCATGTGTTGAGCCGATAACGTTAGAAGGCAACGGGTAAGCTAACGTTAGCTAGCCACCGACAGGCTTCAACTATCGAACCTTTGCCACTGCTTTTATTTATTCACCCTCTTTGTTTGACGCCACTAAGTTAATTTAGCTGTTTACCGAGAAGGAAGTTACCTGGTATTAAATTAGTCTTAACAGGTCGCCTATGTAGATCACGTTAGTTCCGACCATCTGTCATTGTAATCTGATTTAACAACTGATTAACGCTAGCTGACGCAACGTCAGGGTTCACATGAAGTCTTTCCATGTTTATTCAGCTAGTTGACGATATGTTTATTGAGTTCTCTGTTTCTATGTCTGTTCAGGCTGGCAGCCTCGTTGGTTTGTGCTTGATGGAGGAACTTTGTCCTACTACGACTCTCAAGAAGATGCGTGGAAAGGTTGCAAGGGCAGCATTAAAATTTCCGTTTGTGAAATCCAAGGTCTGTGAGCCACACAGAGTCCCTATGCTTCAGAAACTTTTTTCTTTTTATAGATGTATTCCTGACGAGCATTTCTCCCTGTTTGCTGCTGCTGTGTGTGTTCCATTAGTTAATTCCTCTGACTCTACGCGAGTGGACTTGACCATACCAGGAGAGCAGTACTTTTACCTACGAGCCATCAATGCAGCGGAGAGGCAGAAATGGCTGGTGGCTCTGGGCTCGGCCAAAGCCTGCCTTACAGACAACCGGACAAGAAGAGAAAAGGGTGATTTAGATGCTGTAACATCCTAATCTGACCCTGCATGGATTACCTTTACACAGCCAGTATTGTATCGCATTGTGAAACGGGTCGCTGATGTTGTTGCAGAGCTCCAGGAGAACACAGAGGCGTTGAAAACTAAGATGTCGGAACTCCGATTGTACTGTGACCTTCTTCTCCAACAAGTACACAAGATCAAGGAGAGCGATGAGCTGGGAGACACAGCGGAGGTGAGCTTACGGTCCGGATGAGACGATGAAATGAGAGAAGCTGCTGTTGGTGTGACACTGCAGTATAAGGTAGCCCATCTGCAACTAGCAGGAAATACAACCCCAATCTTTAAGCATACTAATAGAATATACTGTAAGCAAGTGTTATAATTACATTTCCTCTTATGTTTTTATTTTTTATTATCACAAAACAACAGTGTACTTACCTGTCAGTACTTTTCGTGGAGTGTCGGCTAATGTATTTTGTTCTGTGTGCCCTTTTCAGACAGGAATTGACACTGGAAACATTGTGAAGTCCACATGCACCACTTTCCTCAAGACTCTGGAGGAATGCATGCAGATAGCAAACCATACTTTTAGTACAGATATCTCAACGCAGACTCCACCAGGATCTCCTCCTGTAGCCGCTGTCAAACCTCAGAAGGTACAAATATGTCACCGTGTCTAATCAGAATGTCTCATTTTATCTTTTTAAATCAGCATTGCTCAGCATTCTTTAGCATTGCTTGTTTGATATTGAGATATATAAAATAACCCCAGAATATCTCGCCCCTTCAACAGATTAAACCAGTCAATCATTTAAAACAGAACCTTGGAGAAAAGTAAGTTTTCTTTCATAACGTTTTTGTCATTTCCTACACTGATTCTACTTTACTCATTGACTGTAGTTGTTTTTTAAATTTACTAATTTGAAAAGTGAGGTGAACATTAAATACCCTTCCAAATGTTTTCTGTTGATACAACGTTTCACACTCAAATGTGTTTCAGGTGGAGAGATTTGGCTGAAAGCTCAGGAGAAGTAATTGCACATGACAACCAGAGCCTCGACTCTGGGGCAGAAGGACCAGATGAGCCAGACAGACCAGAACAGCATCATTCCCCATCAGGTAAGACATGTGTCCAAACCTCTTCTTGAGCATCTCAAACTTTTATTGCAACCCATAGAGGAAAGCTGTCACATCATCTGACCTCATGGATGGATTGTTGCCTTTTAGTGAGCAGTAAGTGAGTGATGCCTCCGTTACATTATTGCATGTAGCAGTAACAAAACCTTTTATACATGGAAAGCTACTGCTGATGATATAAAATGAGAAGAAGTCTAATTTAATGCTTTATCTAAAATACCAGTGTATAACAGATGAAACAAAGATGTTAAAGAAAAGCATTTGACGAAGCATAGTCACATTTGGGTTTGGTCACAACTGAGACCTGTCGCACTGTGATGTTTGCTGACTTACTGAACCTTTCCACCATGGAGCTCAGTGCCGCAATACTTCTACTCAACAAAAAAAAATACTGGAATACTAAATGATGGATGAGCATTATGTTGCGTAGTCAGTGTACATGATAGTTATAGATAGATAGTTTTTTCAAATTGTTACGCCAGTCTGACGGAAACTTGACCAAAACTCATTTCCCGTATTGCCTTCTGTCTCGTAACATTTATGGTACTTGTCCACTGTGTCTCACAGATGTCGATGCCACCGACAAGCAGTCAGTCCAGGAGGAGGTATCTGATCCCACTTCATACACTACCCAGACTGCCCCTGAGTCTGAACACCACCAACAACCAGCAGAGAGGGTGGAGGGAAATGAAGCAGATGATCTAAAGGGGACAAAACGAGAGCAGCTGCATGAAGGGGACCAAAGTCAAGAAGAGCATGACAACAGCAAGAGGGAAGTGGACGCCGTCCAGGCTCAGCACCAACACGACGCCGTTCCAGACCAAGAAGAGGCTCAACATGAAGGCGGAACTTCCGGAGTTTCACCAGAGCCGGAAGACACCGAGCAGGTGGAAACTTTCTTCAGCACAATGAGTCACAGGTACGAAAATGCTACTCAGGAAGGTCACATTCTCTAGGAGACATTTGTTTCTGTGATATTTTACCATGACAGTATTAGGGTGAACCAATCAAGTCTCTATGTAGTATTTTTGTCTTTGAGGCACTTCTGCTGCAGCCTTTGACCTGCACAGCTACTTAGTTTGTGGAAATATATTGTGTTTTACAGTGTTACACCGAATTTATATATAATAGGTTTTAACAGAATCCATGATGTCATTATCAGTGTTTCATATTAGTGTGTTCTCTCTTGACGGGCCCTTATGTGACATTTGGGTTTGTAAAGCTTTTTTGTTTCACTCTGTATTTCAAACGTATTTTACTTTTATCTTTTTTGAGGAGCTTTACTGAACAATGGACTAGTGTGGATTGTGTAATATTCAGTTATAACATGGACATTATTATAATGGAAACATTATCTCTTATTCAACTGCAAGATGGGACCTACAGAATGTTCATTTTGGAGTTGGTCTTTTTAACATTGGTCGGACGTTTCAATATTGACATTGGCAAAACCACAACTTTTTGTTAAGTTGTAGAAAAAGAAGCAGAACAGTCTCAGGTATGGTCAGGCAAAGAAATGCATGGAACTGTGTTGAATCATTTCTCTGGCTTGGTATTGACTGATTTGTACCCTTTTTACCTCTATTCTTTTCTGTTGGAGTTGATCAAATAAAACAGAATGGCATACTTCCCTCTAATATATTCTCCTGTTTGAATCTGTTCTACTCTTATAGATTTAGTGATATAAGACTGGACGACGACAATGGTATCCCTACACAAGAGTTTTTGGACTCATGCTATGCAATAGTACCTGTATTAGGTAGGCTGGTCACTTTCAGTCTGTCCTCTTCATGTGCTCTTCAGCTGTTTCTCATGACGTTACGTCTGTGATCATTTCACCCTTCATTACATTTAAAGGGGAAACGTCTTCCTATTCTTTTAACTAATGCATGCACTTTTTTATTTATTTAATTTATCTATTCTGTAATTAATTAGGTGGCGGCTCTTTGTCTTGGGTTAATAATCACCACCCTTTTCTTTCATGTCTTCTTTATTTCCTTCTGCAACCGTATATCTGTCCATGGTTTCATTTATACTTTGTTGCCTGTCTACCTTTTTATTTAGTTTATTTTAATAACTAAACCCTGTGTATGAATCCTTACCTGCGTGCACTACACATCTACACACAGATAAAGGTGGGCAGTCGCTGTAAGGGTGCAGGACATTGAAAACATGTTTGGCAATTTCTTCAAACTTTTTCCAAAGCTACATCTGACCGGTACGATAATCATAATAATGAGGAAGTGAGGTTGGAGAAAGACTTTGTGTCATCCAGATTTACATGGTGGAGATTCTTTAAAATAAGCATCAACGTTGTCAAATTTGTACAGGATGTCATAGCCATACGTTTCATCATGGCAATATAAGTGTAAAAACACTCCTAAATTTAGTGAACTTTGCTCACGTCTAACTGAGCGCAAATATTTTTGTCAGAAAATCAAAGTCTTGACCAAGGCACCGTGCAGCCTGCCTTCAGAATTACCACTTTGGTCTTCTGTGCTACCATCCTTTATTATTCCATCCATTCTGCAGTCTGGGTATTTTCTCCTGATCATAGTTACAGTTTTTTATTCCTTAAATAACCCAGCATCCTGTTTTTAATTAATCAGTGGCTATTAAGAACCGTGTAGTCCGAATAATATGTACAAAACACAAAATGTATTCTTATTCATAATCAACAAATAAATGATTGTGGGTTTCTCTTCTCAGACAAACTGGGGTCCACAGTGTTCGCCCCAGTTAAGATGGACTTTGTTGGAAATATCAAGGTATGTGTTTGAGTCATTGATTGTCTTAAAGAAGTAGCTCTAAATCTACAGGTAGCGAAGCAAACCGCATGAATCAACATTAGTCGTTGACACAATACGACAATGCACAGATTTGCTCATAAGTCAGACGTCTCACTTCTTCTATTCCTGTTCTGTTAATGCACCTTAGATCGAGTAACTAATGACCTCATCATTTTGTCATGTCGGAGCAAGAATGATGAATTTATATCCAGCTCCTGTCACTATATTAACGTTGTTTGAACTATGCAGAAAATTCATCAGAAGCTGATGTCAGACCCCAACGGCTACCCCACGCTACAGTCCATCGTGCTGTACGAAGTCCAGACAGATGTCGCCCGGGTGCGTAACTCTGCCACCGAGGCCCTGCTGTGGCTCGGACGGGGCCTGAAGTTCCTCAAGGAGTTCCTGTCTGAACTCCACGCAGGAGAACAAAACATCCAGGGAGCTCTGAGTGAGTCCGACTTCTACGATGGAAAAAAACGTAAAAAAGGAAACCGAACCTATTGCATGTTCAACATCCGCCCCTGTTCTCTCACCCAGATAATGCCTACGGAAAGACCCTCCGTCAGTACCACGGATGGGTTGTGCGAGGCGTTTTTGCTGTAAGTACACACACCGGTTCTTTCCCCCTCTGAGGGTTCATCTGTTCTTGGGACGTGACTAACCAAATATTCCAATGTCCCCAGTTGGCGCTGAGGGCCGCGCCGTCTTATCAAGGGTTCGCAGCCGCCTTGGTGTCGAGGCAGGGTGACGAGCTGAAGGGCGGCTTCGCCAGCGGCGTGCACAGGGACCTGGGAGTGTATCTGCCCGCCATGGGGGAGCAGCTGGCCATTCTAGACGCCCTGTATCTAGAATACAACTTGGAGTCGGACGAAGTGGTGTGAAACTTGAAGGACAGAAACGAGTGCTGAAGGACGGCGCCAGATGCATCGAGTGCTACAATATTAGTGTGAGCACGTCCTGTGCCGGTGTGAGGTATTTTCCAGAGGTTGTAAGTCTCTAACAACAGCACATCCACTGTTGTCTGGATGTGAGGAAGGTATTAATGTCTGTATTTAGGACCAAGCACTAACAATTGAAATGTTAAGGTATGATGAACTATAGTAAATGGGTCTTGTTTAAGAGACTCCGACGGTGGTGAATAACGGTGACATTTGTTTCTGGCGCACATTGTGTATTAAGACATTATATGTACAAGGACGTAACTACGAGGTATTTGGCTCTATTAACTGCCCTGGAAGATCAATTGGGATTTCCCTTGAACTGATTAGAAGGCAGAGACATTTTTAACCCGGGTTGTCCTGCTTCCTTGGAATCATGAAACAAGGTGTTACTTTTTACTAACTAACATAAAGCAATTGTTGGACAATTGTTTCAATGCCCGATATTCAGTCACTGGCCACTTTATTAGGTACACCTGTTCAATTGCTTGCTAGCACAACTTGCTGATGACGTGTAAATCATTCATTCAAACCGAGCATCAGAATGGGAAAGACTGTTGGTGCCGGACGGGCTGGTCTGACTGGCTGGTCCGAAACTGCTGAACCACTGGGATTTTCACGCACAACCATCTCCAGGGTTTACAGAGGATGGCCCGAAAAAGAGAAAATATCCAGTGAGCGGCAGACGAAAATGCCTTGTTCATGTGAGAGGTCGGAGGAGAACGGGCAGACTGGTTTGAGATGATGGAAAGGCAACAGTGACTCAAATGACCTCTCGTCACAACCAAGGAATGAAGAACACCGTCTTCTCTGAACGCACAACAGGAGGGACCTTGAAGAAGACGACAGCAGCAGAAGACCTCACCGGGTGACACTCCTGTCCGCTCACAGCGGGAAACCGACTACAGTTCAAACAGGCTACGAGCCAAAGCTGAACAATATAAGATTGGAAAAATGTTTCCTGGTCTGATGAGTCTCGGTGTTTTCTTGGCACGCTTTGGGCCCCTTATCGTTTAAATGCCGCTCCCTTTATGAGCACAGCGTACCATCTTCTGGTGGCTACTTCCAGCAGGATAGTGCGCCGTGTCACGAAGCTCGTATCATCTTAAACTGGTTTCTTGAACATGACAATGAGTTTACTGCACTCCGAAGGCCTCCACAGTCACCACATCTCAATCCAATAGAGCACCTTTGGGACCTGCAGCAACCGGGTGATGCTATCATGTCAGTAAGGATCAAACTCTCTGAGGAATGTTTCCAACACCTCGTTGAAAAGTCTGCCACCAAGAATTAAGGCAGTTCTGAAGGCAAAAGCAAGGTGTACCTAACAGAGTTGCCGGTGAGTGTATATGCCTTTAAGGATGTGATGGCAAACATGGCCAAGGTAAAAAGTTTTGCACTTATTGAAATTAGGGGGCATTACGATCAATGTGTTGTTTTTTTTGTTTCCTGAAATGTTAATACAACTCCTGCAGGTGGTTTGTGTTTTGAGCTATTGCTCTAGACTCTAGAGACTTTCCGTGGGACCAAAAGCAGCCGTAATGGGAGTTGCTTTAGCCTTTGAGGCGCACGACACACAAGAATGAAGTGACACGGCCTTTGAAATACCGACAACTGTTGAGTACTTTTGTGGACATCCTCTGCACAAAGCTATGCACAGACTGCCTTTTCAATGTCTATTTATTACGTCCTGACTTGTAAATGTCACATTGATGTTATGGGGTTCATTGCATACGAGCTCTTGTGTGGACACTTGTATCCATAGAGCATGTTTATTGATTGCATGGTTAACTAACCAAACTAATTGGTTAACATTGGTGCCAATGCAAACTGTGTACAGGTCAGGGATGAGAATTAACCAAGTCATTGAATAATCCTCACATTTTATGATGTCCATGAAACGTAAACGACGTTTAAGTTTCTTCATCGTGTCAATGAGCCATTCAAATGAAGCAGGAACAAATACATAACACACACCCTACTGTTTTGTGTTCAGGAATGCACACAGTAATACTACTTGATGTAAGATGGGCTGACTTCCTGTTGCAAATAAATCCCAATTTTATTCCATTTTAATACTGCAAACATTTGATTTGGTTTTCTATGACTGTATATAAGATGCTATTTGATTTTTACATAATAAATCATTAAGTTGTCTTTGTGTGTATCCAGTCCTGTCGTAGTCAAATCTGTTGTCTTGTCAGACAGGTATCCCAAAGGTATCACCAACGCCTCATTCAACAATCAGTGGTGCCACTGGTATTCATTTAGCGAAGCAGTGCTTTCCTTTGACAGCACCTTGACAGCACCCTCTTAATCCCAGAGAAAGCTCTGTTTACATTTCCTGCTATTTATCTGGCTCTCCTGTTGGGACACTGAAATCCCATTTTTGTGTGTAGTTGAAGCTCCCTGCTCCACCTTTGCATTCTATGCAGCGGGAGTTTTGCATGTGGAGCCGTAGTGTGTCCTCTGCCGTGACCACAGCACCCTGCGTGCCACCCATTCCTGCTCATAGGTCAGAGATTTTCACTTGCCTTAAGCCACCAGCTGGGTGCCTCGCTGTTTCCTGTCCCCATGGCCTCATTTGCATCGCCACTAAAATAACTCCTTATGTTGGAGAAAGGGTTTGATTTCACTTCACCTTGAGAGTTCATAATAGAACTCGAACCTGGAGGCAGAGAGGAAGAGCAACTGTTCAAGGTTCCTAAACGCTGATAAACCTCCAAGTGTTGTATTCTTCTTTGAGCAAAGCAGATCTTTTCATCACAGAGCAGTAAAATGCGGTCGGCCACTGCGTCTCCGGCAACATTTAGTGCTGTACTTGGACATCTGTGGGACAAATCCGATTGGCCTGGCCAGGGGAATGCACATGATGGGATAAATAAACCAAGGTAAGCTTTTACTTGGGCATCTCAGCGGACAAATTGCCCTGATGTGATTTAAAAAAAAGAAAGAAATACAGCTAATGGAGTTATGTGGACTCTGTCCAACCTCTAACATCTCTGTGGCAACACTGGCTGGTTGCCCGTAGCCCACCGCGTATGGCTGTGCCGGATCTCCAGGCACAGACTCAGCACGGAATGAAAAGCTGAAGAAAGCCATTTCCATGTCTGAGAAAACCGCGACGCTTCGCTGAGTGGTCTGTCAACTATTTCCCCTAATGCAGCGCTTTCCAGGGAGCCGCTGACAGCATCTTTTTTTGCACCTGATAGAGGTCTGCTTTGTCTGTTTTCTGTTGTCGTCGTGTTCTTATGCAGGGAGCGCTCTGAAGGGACATTGGCTGTTTGCACAGCATCCAACTCACCACCCGCTCACAATGCACAGGGAGAAAAAACAGACTTCAGACTAAGGATTTAAATTCCTGTTTTTATTTTATCCACAGCTACAGTATAAATCATATCCGAGCAATGAAACAAAACCGACTTGCACTACCCGTCACAGTGTATGCTATTACAGTACGTTTCCACATGCGTGTTATGTTTCAGCATTGTTGTGCATACACAGTGCAGGATTTAGCACAGCAGCACAGGCCACAGATAAAACATTTACCATAGTTTCCAAAAGGTATTTCAGCTTTGTGCAAGGCACAGCTCTTTACTATCACATAAGCTGGGTCATACAGTACTTAGCTACACTCTGAGCAGAGCAAGACACAGATATTTCTTAAGATGCCGTGGTTCACAAAACAAAGCAAAAGGCCCATTAGCACTGAATCACAAGCATGCGGAGACAAAATAGTTAACAGTCTTTATCTTTCTTTTTACAGAAGAATCACTTTGTAACACCTGACTACATCTAAGTATGGCTGAGAACTGGTCTCCCTTGCACAGCGACTCATACAGTAGCTTATGGAAAAGTTCAGCTTATATCTTATGTCAAAGTCATTTTCACCACTAGTGCCAAACACGTAACGGACTACATCTACACTGATGAGTTTCTCTGTTGTTTCATATACCGTAAGACAGAAAGACTGAATAAAGAGGTATTAAAGTAAATACAGTAATGGTGACCTAACAGGATGGAATTGCATTCCCTTTCTCCTTCAGCAAGTCAAGACTATTCGTTCCTGTGCAGTGAGAAAATTAAGAACATTAACAGTTTCAAGCCTTCATATACAGTATATTTAATTTCTCACGGAATCACAGGGAGGACACTTGAGTTATCTGTGTGCCTCCGCGTACAGTCACTGCCATGTCACCTACAAAGAGAGTTGTGTGGGGGCTGCTTGTGGAAGGTGCTGGGTGGAGCTACATTACCTGTTGGTTCCTGAGAAGTTTTTGAGATTTATGAAACCTTGTCCAGACTGAATGTCCCTGTCAAGCAAAGTACCGCCACAAGGCCTAGTCTCCCAGTGTGACACCCTCTCTGAAACATTACTAAATGCATATTCCATGCACCTCAATCTCCATTCCTAACCACACTCATTGAGCTTTTACTATTACTTACTAACTGAAATTGTTGTTGTGATATTGAGACGACGCAGTGCGAGCCTCGTTGTGGCAATAAAAAGTAAGGTGAGGGGTCACATGCTTGGATAGTGACAGCTGCTGTCATGTCTCAGTAATCCCAGTCTCATGCAAATGCTGTCATTGATGCTGCATTAGAATACCTGAGGCCACGGCTCTGGATGTCCTTCTGCCTGTCTTCCTCAACAGTATCTGGGTTAAGATTAATACGCGTCTGGCCCGGCTACTGCTCCTCTGCAACATCTCCCACTGGCACTTAATTAAGTCTCTGCATGGCTGTCACACAACTGCTGCTGGATCCAGAGGCTGATTCATGGTGAGGAGGCCCTTCTTTAGTCCTGCTTGTTAAGACTCAGTGCAGTTGTCCTGTGCATTTCCTATGTGTGGGTGAAGGTTTTCCCCTCAGTTGACTGACTACAAGGCTGGGAAGTTACTTAGCAACCCCAGCAGCAATGCAGAGGAGTTCTGTGTAGTATATATATATATGTTGTGTTGTTTTTTCTCAATCATTTGCCGCTTCTACCTTCAGAGTCTCCTGCCTGGAGTCTTATTGTTCTTTATATTTTTTTTTGTATGAAAATATTCCAAATAACACACAGGGGATCCTGCTGGACCATCCAGCTTCCTCTTCAAGTGAAGTACTTGCAATTTGTGGATTCGATAACGCAGTAGGGTGTGCACTTCAGGTGACCGTATGACCTGCAAAGAACATGAGAAACGATGTTTCGGTCAGTGAAACACGCCAGAAAAAGACTTCTCACCGTTGCCCAGATGTGGCTGCGCACTGTGCTCACCCTGGAAGGTATGAATTACACGTCTGGTATCCGAAGTCCTTTCCATCACACTCCTCACTCCCCTCCTGGCGGTAGCCGTCTCCACAGTAGGCGTGTTTACACTCTGTGGTGAGGGGAGCCAGCAGAGGTGGAGGGGGTCATGTTTTATGTGCACAGCAATGTACGACCAACGAGACATTGTAGACAACGGGCGACGCACGACTTACTGACGCAGCCGTCGGTGACGACTCTGTTTCTGTCATCACACTCCTCGCCCGTGGAAATCTGCACGATCCCGTCGCCACAGTAGCCCTCGTCGTCCGGTGCGTTTTCCATGGACTGGAATGGCGTCGACTGGAATGGAAAAGTCTTTTACAAAGTTTAAAAAAGTTAAACAAAAAGGAAAAAGCACTTGAAAAGGCACCGTGTATGAATCCTAATCAGATTTTGGCTGCATGCAGTGATGCACCTGGATCGGCAGCCAGCCGTCTACGTCTTTGAAGTAGAGAGACCTCTGGTCTTTGCGGAATGCGAGAGCATTATCTGTGTGCAGGCGCTGCAGTTCCTCCTCGTTGCTCACAACGAAGATCTGAATGAAAGACAAGATGAAAAAATGTACTCTCATTTTTCAATATTCAGTGTGTTATTGAGCAGTAAAGGTTTCTACCTCTGGTTTCTCTTTCTTTTGGCGAATGATCATCATAATATCATAATATATTATAATAATAGAGTTTCTAAAAATGGTCTTAAAATTGACATCCAAGGTTGGGTTTTGTCACGATGTGTCATGACTTGATGCCTCACCGCTGGTACTTTGGGATAGTTCCCTCTGGAAGGGTAGTCATCAAATGGAGAATTACTGAGAGAGCCACAGCTACACTTTCCAGGAGGCCCTGGTGGACCACGTCCACCCTTTGTTCCAACCATGTAAAGTCCTAAACGCATGACGAGAGGAGAAAGAATATATGATAGAAGACACAAAGTAAAAATACGGTACATAGAGTAAACAACACATGCCATTAAATGTAGTATCTTTGAATCATCTATCAAGGCAATCAAACCAATTCACTCCTGATCAAGCAAGCAAATGTCACTTTTATCCTTTGGTGACGTATTAATTGTAAAACTGAAAAGAGGCTCACCATATGTGAATCCATTTTAGCCACATGATGTCACGCATACGGTAAAGGTTCTCACCTGTGGCAGGTGAACCAGGAGGACCGGGGTGGCCTGGTGTTCCCTGTGGGCCTGCAGGTCCCATGGGACCAACACTACCCGTGTCTCCTTTACCTCCCTGAAATCCGATCCAAACCGTGAGGAAGGTGATCCAATCTTTAACTTTCCTTTACATGTTTTGAAGATCAAAAGGTTGAAACTAAAACTGAAGAGTATTACATTTTAAAGAAAAACGATCACAACAGTTAGAGACATGTTCTCTCACTGAGGATGAGGATGCAACTCCATGTATTGCTGTTTTGAAACGACGCAAAGAGAACGTCACATGACCACCGACTCCTCACCTGCTTGCCTCTCTTCCCGGGTCGGCCAGTGGGTCCTCTGTTCCCTGAGATCCCAGGTTCCCCTTTTGGGCCCATTTCCCCCTGCACACCAAACCAGACAACTCAACATTCAGTTTGGTCAGATTTGGAATGTCTTGGTTCTGCTGGACAAATTGAGCATTCTCACTTTCTGTCCAAGCATCCCTGGGAAACCCATCGCGCCCTGCGGATGAAGAAGAGCACATGTTAATACAACTTTGCAACAACATAGCAACATAGTGACGCTTTGTTTGTTTGAAAGGATTCCTGTGACTGATAAACTCTTCCTACCTTGTCGCCTTTCACTCCGCTTTCCCCGCGATCACCTCGAGAACCCTGAAGGAGAAGATGGCACCGTGTTACCTCACCTCAGATGTTGCAGGTAATCGATATATCTCATTGCATTTCTTATCGAAAACAAAGTTTTATACCTTTTCCCCTTTATACCCGGGTAAACCCTAAAATTAAAGATACAAAATATGTAGGATGAAAAGTCTGAAGGTGAAATTATGCTGGATCAATGTAGTTCATAGGTGTCTCTTACCCTTGGCCCAATTGGTCCTCTGGCTCCAGGCAAACCCATCAGCCCCGGGTCACCTTTCTCACCCTAACGCACAGAAACGCATTACATATTGGAAAAATGTGGATTCGCTTCAATTTGTTTAATCACATGGCCCAAAATATAACCCACACCCCAAAGGAAAAATATTGTGCATGCTTTAAATCAATTGTTATTAATAATGTTGTACAATTTCAATTAAGCGTTTGTAGAGAAAAAGTGTTTCATAGGACTGAACCCAATAAAAGCCAACACTCATCTACCCTACCTAGCAATGACACCTACTGGTCTCATGCCACCTTATGTTTCATCTGCATTATGAGATCTGACTTACTCACTTTGGGCCCACTTGGTCCGGGCCATCCACCTGCTCCCTGTTTCCCAGGAAGTCCAGCAGGACCTGTGCGACCCTAACAGCAGACGTCAATTTCAACACACCATCTCAGACGTAGAAATACCCAATAAAACAATTGCTGCCACAGATATGGAAGCCGTTATCTGATTATAAAAAAAGAAAAACAAATAAAGAATACCAATCCAAGTGCAGCATTTGCTGCATAAGCTGACAGCCTGCTTGCTACAGCATTTATCAGACGCGACTGCACATGCAGAGGGAGAATGAGCCCTGTCACTTTGCTCTCTTTAATTAAATGATGGGCTGTATATAGAACAGGAGCTCGTGCTTGTGGGAAATAAAAGGATTTATGACCTGGCTGGAGCACTAAGCTAAATTGCACTGCAGTGCTGCAAAGCTGCTCAGTCAGGCCATCGAGAAGCGAGGCTCTCCCACTGGGCCGCTTTGGCTGCCCGACCACAGCGACAGATCATTTAAGGAGGTCACTTCTCTTTCGTGCTTGCAATAAAGCAGTGTGGGCTTGTTCCTTCTGTAAAGGAAGGAGGGGGGGGGGGGGGGGGGGCATCTGACAGGGAGGCATGACAATGGATGTCTGTTACGGGTCAATATTGAGGCAAAACAGCAGCAGATCTCCCTCCTTTGCATCCTGTCAGTGTATCTGCGCTGTTTCCCCGTCAAGGTTATACTGGCAAACAATTCCTTGATGTAGGCGACCGGGCCCTGTGGCAGCACTCTGAGTTACAGCTGGAGAGAAGGCGGAGGCATGGTATCTCATATTTGAGTAAATCCACTTAGCGGAGAATATGGAGTGATTAATGGAGACTCTCACCTTTTGCCCAGGTCTTCCAATTTCTCCCTGACGACAGGATGCGGAGGAGGGGACAAGGACAGTGGCTATTCAATACACTTCCAGCAAGCATCGTCCGGTCAGTTAAACTTGAGCTTATAAAATAATGAACGGAGACGGCACTGGAACATACTGGGAAATAACCTGCTTACCTTTTCTCCCTTGGGCCCTTCTATTCCAGGTAATCCAGGTGGACCCTGATGAACAGGAAAATACAATGTAATTATGTCATATGCTCATGAATCAAAGGGATATCTACCTAAATGTATTGTGTTGTTCACATCCCACCACAAAGTTGTGTCTGTTTCTTGGAGCCCACAACTGCATTTCAATTAGCTAAAGGCTGAGTGGCCACTATTGATTTAAAAAGTGCCTGGTGGGTCCCTTTTGATGAAGTGAAATGCTGCAGGAGTCTAGCTGGTCTCTGTCCTTGGAAGCTTTAACAATCATTTGGTAAATCTGTAAATGGTCAAATCCAACTTGCTGGTCTAACAGGTTGGATTCAAATCATTTTAATTTGAACTATTGAAGAGCTGCTTTGCATCTTTCATCCGCAGTACACAAACACATGGACTCATGCTTGTGTTGGTGATCCCTGGAATTTACGCAACCCAGTACGCCTTTTTAGTTAGACAGCACTTGGGACAATTCTGAGAATGATGTGTGGGGCACTGGCAGCCAGTGGAAAAAGGCTATTTGTGTCCAAGCTAAATGTGGAGCGTTAATGGGCCGCTGTGTTGGGAGGGCCGGAGAAATCCCCATCCTGCTTTGCAGGAACTCTCAAGTTTAAGAGGAGATGGGGTTGATATGTTCTTGGGAGTACCAATTATTAACACCTTGAAACCACCTGAGACAGAAAGTGTTCACAGCAAATCCTACGAGCTGCCCATTGGAGCGGTGTGAAGAGGCCAGAGCCTGATCTACGGTAAGTTCATGCTGTGAGGAGCATGATGATTGGGTAAGAGTTTGGGATCCTACCTGAGGACCAGAGGGACCAGCAGGCCCGCGGGGGCCTCGGTCGCAGGCAGAACCTTGGTCCCTATTGCACTTCTCTGACTTCCCACAATTATTGTCTTCATTCTGGAAAAATGAAAACAAAACTCGACTGTTAGCGGCTCAACAGAATTACCCCCCAATTCTGATTGTTGAATATTGATAAAAGAAGCTTGTCTGAAATTCATCCCGTTCTTGACCGCAACAATTCATAATCCAAAGAGAAATATTTGTTAGCCATTTCTTTTGCAAGCAGGTTTCCTCATCTGAGGTGTTTTAACAGTGTATCCTTCAGGGGGGGGGGGTCAGAGACAGCAAGTGTGCCGGGCGGTTTGGAAATCGCCCAAGGACATGTCAACAATATTCCACAATAGAAAGTCACATGACTTCTACTCACATGAGCGTGGCGGCGCCAAAGCGAAGGGGGTGGAGGAAACAGCGGGGGTGGAGGCGGACTCAGCAAACAGCACGGGCTGAATCTCTTCTGCTGCTCCGGGGTTCTGGGAGCTGCGTGAGGCGAGCGTGCAACCACAAGCCACACAGAGTCAAGAGAGAGACCGTCGGAGGTCATGTTTACGTTGTGTTATCTTCTGCAGCCCCTGAACGTGGAGCCTCGCAATCAAAATGAGAGAAGTAATCCTTAACTCATGACTGTGGTACGTGCGTGACATGTTGCCACCAAGTGCCCCACATATTCAGTGTGTATTTCAAAGAGGTCAGAACATGCAGCAGCGTAGGGGAGCAGGTTAACAGGTGCAAACTATGTAATCGTGACACCCGTCCAGCTGAGCTCGAGCTGGACGCAGACACGAAGGGCCTGTTGCCTCTCGCTAAAGTGCTGACTGGAGGTGGCTCTGCTATTTATAGTCATTTTCAGTTTACTTCGAGGGTGCATGCAAACAAAAACAGGTGTATTTTACACTGATAATGAGCCTAAATATTATCCTTAACCTAGGCATTTAATATCCATGCTTTCACAGCCCCGACTTTCCCAACACCTGTGCATGCATAGTATTGGATGCAGAGTGCACACGCACACACACAAACACACACACACACACACACACACACACACACACACACACAGTAGTATCATGGTCACACTATTCTTACCCAGGTTGAATGAAATGACGCTGTCCAGAAGAGAGGCCTGAGCGAGGCCATAAGAAAACCACAGTGGCAGATACAGTCCAAGTGTTAGAAGAGTCATGCTGCTTCAGATAGTTGCTTGACTTTATTCGTGAGCCTCAGCAGCCCTCACACGCTGCCTCTCTCTCTCTCTCTCCTCACTGTCCTCTCCCTGCTCTCCCCTCCCTCCCTCTCCGCTCGCTCTGCCCCGTCTCCTTTACTCCCTCACAAGAGGGGACGCCGACCAATGCCCATTAAATCTTTCCTCTGCATCTGTGTGCGCTAAAATTACAGGAGACAGTCCGCCAGCTGCTTACGGTGCCAAGATTAGAAGTCTACTACTGACTGCAGGGGTGTTTTGTTGTTTCCACTCCTCTTGTAATGACCACAGTGTGGGGGGGGGGACTTTTCTGCTGTAGATTCTGAGGCAACGTCCATGATGGTTAACATGTATTTATCAGTCCATGTATTTGTAAGAGGTACACTGTGTATTCTTCTGTGCATAATGACGACCACTTAGTCTAGAACTGATGGGTTTTATTACCCAGTCCGGCCACAGAATGAAGAGCCACCATTGAGATTCTTTGGGGGATTTGAGACCGATGCATAAAAGAACTGCAAATGCTGCAAAAGTTGAGTCACATTTAAACTGTGGAGACATGGAAATGTGATATTTACACTTCTCTTGTACAAGTGGGAAAAGGTGTTTCATTTCGGTTCGCGGGGGGGGGAAAGAATGCAACTCTGCATCGTCACTTCTGCAAAAAACCGTCTATCCAAGATGTGCATTACAAGGTGTGACATAAAGGAGGGTGTATTTATGAAAGTACAAATGCAAATTTGACAAATCTTGAACGAAAACCATTTACTGAAACCTACCTAGCACAAGAATAACCTAATGAGACTGCAAAGGCTGTGAAGCCACACACACACCTGAGGCTGATCTCACCATGACAAGTTCAATCAGGGCGTTTAGTTTGTGATGAGGAGCTTGCAACGTCTCCCTCGGAAAGACACCTATTTAGTATTTGGAGCTGTTGAGAAGCCTAGAAGCCTGTATCCTACTCGGTCAGAAGGCTTTTGAAGGAGCTAGAGGTCCTGTTTTATTGCAAAGCTTTGGGTCAGAATAAAAAAATAAAATAAACTTAAGCTAACTGCCTTTTATTGCTGCTCGAACACGTCCCCCTCCGTCCTCCACCAGATCTATACACTGTACTTTAATTATATTGGGAAAAAAAACAGATTTGTTTAAAAAAAGTATGTTTAAAAATGTTTTATTGTACTATTCATTATTTTGTTCATTTTAATACTACCATGTAGTAACACAATATTTACTCATTTCATGGAAACAATCACAACATATTTATATATATTTTCCCAGATTGAGATTGCTGAAGAAAACAGTCACTGCTGTCCTGATAGTGTTCTGGACAGAGGAGGAAGATCCTTCGTTCAGTCTACAAGTTGGCGCGTGTGAGCCAAGGGAACTCCTGCAGAAGAGACAGCATTATATTAGACCTTCCAAGATGATCGCGCAATTTTATCTAACTGTCTATTTAGTCTCCACATTCCAAAACAGACTTTTTTCCAGACAACAAATACTTAATCTTCCTCCACTGCTCAAAACTGAACTTTGAACCTGAGGATGGAGAACAGTTGGGAGGAAAACAATGAGTGCAGCACATCTCGTTAGGTGATAATTCTTCATCCTGGTCACAGAGAGCCCAGCGCCATGGATACGGCCCTCAATAAAACCTTCAAACATGTCTGCGAAGGGTTGCGAGGATACATTCAACATAAACACAGAAGGTCATGGCTTCTAATTACGGGGACCCTGAAATAGAAAGGTCAGCTCGGTGGGAGGTGGAGGGATTGTGCGGGGAATACAACGGTTCTGCGGTGCACCTGGAGTGTGGGGATTACTGGTCAGTGAGGCATGTTGGCCTGTAAGGATGAGACGAGAGGCGAGGAGACACCAGGTTCTGTTTCGCACTCCTCGCGAACAGAGATGCTGCTGCTGCTTTTAGTCACGCCGAGCACGCCTGTCACATGCAGTTTACACATTACAGCCTCTGGATTTACTCATTCCTGACAGGTGACGGTTACCTGCTGTTTTCTGTCGGAGGAAGGGTCAATGAGCACGTTTAGGAGACTCGGTCTCTCCCAGTCACTCAGGCTAAGCTGTAAAGCGCTGCGCAGCTCCTCCACCGTCCTGACCAGGAACCCTCGACCCCCGAACGCGGTCATGACCTCGTCATAGCGTGCCTCGGGTAGGAGGGACACAGGAGGGGCACTGACATGCGACACGGTGACATTTCATTACCTCAAAGCGGATTACGTGTATTATATAATATATAGAATTAGTGATTGCGTTATGAACATTGTCCCAATGATGTGCGACTCACACAGAGGTGAGATCTCCCACTTTTGCCATCTCTTTCCACGTCTCAGGATCCACGCCGCTGTAAATTCCATTGTTATTGACCACAATGATGACCACAGGAAGATTATACCTTTTAGAAAGACAGAGCAAAAGTGGAATTAAGTGGCGGTAAGAGATTAAAGTATATACATTGTATAGAGACAGATGCAACCAACCCACCTGCACATGGTTTCAACTTCCATGCCGGAAAATCCAAAGGCACTGTCTCCTTCCACACAGACTACCCTTTGGTTTGATCGCTCGCTCCTCACCACGGAGGCTGCTGCGATAGCAAAGCCGAGGCCAACTCCCATTGTCCCAAATGTACCGGCATCCAACCTGCAAACACACAGGATTAGCTAACAACAATCTCCTAAAGCTCATCCAGAATTGGAAGCTGACTTCAGCCTAATACAGTTAAACAATTTGTCTCTTCCAGACATGGAGGAGACATAAAGTCAGGGTGGGAATATAATGCCTTGAAGTAGAATGCAACATTATTTAAAAGAGTCTTTGAGACATCAACAATGATATCATACCTCACTTGGGAAATTCAAGAAAGCATTTGGTGATGAGCATGAACATATAAATAAATAAAGTTCATTAATTAAATACATAAACATGGATCAGTGTATTTAATAGAAGCCTGCCTTGCCTGTGTCGAGGGAGGTAGTTGTTCAACATAGTGCGTCCTATGTCCATAGTGTTTGCACCCTCGCTGACGATGATGCAGTCATCCGGCAACAGCTGGGAAACGTGATGAAACACCGTGTAGTAGTTCATGGGCAACGTGGACTGAAGAGCGAGCGCCTGTCGCAAGAAAAAGGGACAAAAAGCATAAATAAGGAGAACCATTAATGAGAACATCTATGTGGACTTAACATGTAATTACATTGAATAGCCAGCATAGCTTGTGACATTTCAATAAACAGTTTTAGTAACCGCCTAATTTAACATATTAGAGGCCTTTCAAAAGTCAGTCTTAACCCACCTTTGATATTTTTGCATTAGCAACAATTTTGTCCTTCAGTGTGCTCCACCACTCCGTATTAGAGGGATATTTCCATCCATCTTTATGGAAGACCTCCAGCAGCTGAAAAAACAAACAAAGAATCAAAAGCCGTAATTACTTGTACAAATACCCATATGAGCTGTTCCTTTATTCCTTGGATCCACATCACATAGAATCACAAGAAGAGAAAAGGTTTGTGTGCTGACTAAGTTACCTGAATGACAATAGCGTTGATGTCTCCCAGCAGAGCAACAGCGGGGCTCACATTGTTCCCCATCTCCTCAGCACAAAGGTCAACCTGCAGTCGGAGCGCACATGTAGTACGTTGTTGTGGCACAAACATTTTCAGCAACAGCGAAACGCAATGCAGGTGATACGCCAGAGGAGCACAAAGAAACGGAGTATTTACAGCAATTCTGAAAAAATGAAGTGAATCCATCATTAATCTTGCCTCGACCGTTTACGTGCCTGGATGATCTTGACATTGGGGTCAAACCGCGGGGGCAGACCGAAATGCAGAATCCAGTTCAGCCGCGCTCCAAGCAGAAGCACAACGTCGGCCTGCAGAAGAGCTCTGAGAGGAACGGTGGACGAGAAATTTCATTAAGACAAAAACAGTTTGGAATGGAAACAGTATGCGTCTGTTTAAAAAAAGTATTGGATGCATAACCCTACATCTAAAAAAAGAGGTATGTATAAAATGTGTACAGTCATCAACAGGTAACTGAGGTTTAGTCGGTTTCCGTCATATAATAAACGCTAACGATCATGTTGGCTCAAATAATTGTACGTCACACTTTTTGGTTCGTGAACACTGTTACAGTGAACGGGAGACTGACCTTGAGCGGGCAGCAGCCACACAGTTGGGGTGATCGTCAGGTAGGACCCCTTTCCCCATGGGGGTGGGCAGGAACGGGAGACCAACCATTTCCACCAGCTCCCGCAGGGCCGCCTCCGCTCGGCCGTAGGCTGCTCCTGTGGGGCACGACGGTAGTCATGGTATCATTACTCACCCAACGAGATACTCCCGTGCACCACCGAGGGAGGAGGTGCAGCGCTTCAGGGTTATGTCATTTAATAGAGACGGTGCTGATGCGTCTTTTGTTCGTACCTTTGCCAATGATGACTACGGGTCTTTTAGCAGCTTTCAAGACCGATATGGCTTCAGTGATCGCCCCATGGTGAGCCAAACTCACAGGTGGACTTGGACAGCAGGACACAACTCTACGGGAACAACACACTTTGTTGAATGCTGGAATCACAGAAGCAATACAAATGCAGAAAACAAAACATTTTTTTTTTTTAAAGGTGTAACCAACCTGACTTTGCTCCTATCCACTTTAGCATTCACCATGTCCCCTGCAATATCCACGTAACAAGCACCCGGACGACCATACATGCTGGTGCGAACCGCCTACGGGTATACAAACACAATGTCATCCAACTATGCAGTATATCTTACTCGGCCTACTGTGATAGAGGAAACAGAAGAACGCAGTATCACCTTCTCTATCACTGAAGGGATGATTTCCAGGCTGCTGGGTCGGGCAGAAAACTTGCTGTAGAGGCGACATGCTTCCACCTAGGAACAAATAAAAAAAAGGGTCAGTTCGATAAAGCATGGGAAGGCATAAATCCACCGGGAGGCGTGTATTACCTGAGGAAACTCCTGAAAGGCTCCCGCTGTTTCCTGGTTCTGATCCGAGGAGCCTCCAATAACAACCACTGGCCTGAACAAAGTGCAAAAGCCAAATCAATGCAAG